TGGAGTGGGAGACATTATCTTAAGTGAGGTAAGCCAGGCACGGAAAGATAAATTTAGCATATTCTCACTCATATGTGGGAACTGAAAAAAAAATTGAACTCATGGAGATACAGAGTAGAATGATGATTTCAGGAGGCTATAAAGAGTGGGGATAAAGAGGGGATGGTTAATTGGCACAAAAATACAGTTAGCTAGAAGGAATAAGATCTAGTGTCTGGTAGCACAATAGGGCAACTATAGTTAACAATAATTTATAGTTAACAATATATTTCAAAAGAATTAAAAGAGTGGAACCGGAATGTTGCAAACACAAAGAAATGATCAATGCTTGAGGTGACAGATAACCCAATTACTTTGATTTGATCATTACACATTGTATAATTGTATCAAAATATCACATATATCCCATAAATATGTACAATTATTATGTATCCATAATTATAAATTAAAATATTCTTATTACCTTCTGATAGTTTCCAAGAACATGATTTGTTCCTTTTCCTTAACACACACCCTTTTTTGAAGCTAAAAATATGCATTCTTGGGTTCTATATATAAGAAACATTTCAAGTTGGAATAGCAATGAAAGAGATGATCTATGCAGTGTTGTCTGCAAGCAACTGATCACAACCAGTTACAGATCTATGTGTTCCTTCTCTACTGCCAGTGTTTTACTTGACTGGACTTTGAGGGCAGGGGAATGAGATGATCTAAAACTACAGAGTGTCAGATCAGTCTTCTTGTCCAGCTCTGCCACAAACCTCATTGGAAAGACCATTCAGTGTGTATTTGGGCTTTCCTTCCTCATCAATGTAATGGCAGGAATAGACATACAAGACTCCAACTTGCCCCTTCAGTTCTTTGAAACCGGTGGATTTTAATTTGCTGTGGCTTCCACTGGCCACCAAATTTGGTGCAAAGCTACATGACTTTTCTTACCCCTCATGTCACTCTATTATCTGCTAAAATTTTATTGCTTTATTAGATCTCAAACTTACACCTACTTGATATTTTTACATGTATACTTAGCCTCTTATTTTTTCTTTTAATATTTAGTGTCTGCATTTGATTCAGAAAGATATTTTTCAGCTCTATCAAATTCAGAAGTAGCTTAGAATTAGAAAATTCTTCCTAGCAGGAGTTTGTCTCACCAGCTCCTGTCTCGTAAACCTGTTTAGTAGAGTCATATTTCATAGAGCTGCCTAAAGATTTTTACTTTGCATGGCTTAATTCCGCTTCTCATTATGTCCCATCTATAGTTTTTTCGATCTGTAACTACACTCCAATCCACTAGAATTCTCAAGCTGAAACAACATTTTATACCCCCCACCCCGATTCATAAAATACATTTTATAGGCAGTTGCAATTTAAGATCAGAGTTGAACCAAAGCCAATGTGAAATCCCTTGGGAGGAGACACCAAACTCAATCACTTGAAACTTAATCTCAATTTTCCCTCTTTTTCTTTCTCTCCTTTCTCTTTCTTCTTCCTTCTTTCCTTCCTTCCTTCCTTCTCTCTTCTTTCTTCTATACACACACTCTTTCATATTTTCAATTACAAACAGAATTGCAAAACATAAGAATCAAACTAGCACTAAAATCAAGGTACTAATTTTGTATGTATATTAAAGTTATATAAATGTTATATGAATAGGTATTTTCTGGAACAGGAGACAGTAGAGCAGTAAGGTATCTACAAACGCATCTGACCCTCTGAGGAGCTCTGCTTAGCCCCCACCTGCCTAATGTGAGCTTAAAAACCTGCCTTGGACAAAGTTGCTTGACCTCTTCTACTGCTCTGCTTTGCTGATGCTTCGATCTGTGTTCAACTTTGCATCTTGGCCCCACTGTTCTCCCACCTCATTAAATGATAACATTGTCTAGTCTTGTATTCCTTAATTTTTTTTTTTTTTTTTGAGAAATGAATCCAAACATTCTTTCACTTACACTAGTTTCTCATACTGTACAAAAGAAAGAGGAAGATGGTAAGGAGAAAGCAAAGCAGAAAAAGGAAAAGAGAATGAAAAAGAAGAGATAGACTACTCTTGGCATTTCTTCCTTAATATTTATTTTACTTTTGCTTTTTTATTTTTTATCTTATTCATTTTGAATTTTAAATATCTACTTACAGCAGATTAGTTTTAGAATCAGATTAAAATTTTATTTTCCCTTATTACAAACTCATTTTTATTTTCTTTCTTGAGACAAACTGGCAGCCTATATTGCTTATTTTTATTTGCTTTTAAAAGCTGCTATTATTCTTTAGTACCCTGGGATACCAATGTGATGATGTCTCACTGGTTCTTGTAGATAGTTATACTCACAACATGCCTATGGCTTCATGGAAATGAACATTTGCCACAGCTGCATAGGAGCTTACTCAAATGGGTGACACTAAATCTAACTAAAATGACAATCAAAGCTATGGCAAGACTATCAGGCAAATGAGTCAGAAGTTAAAATTATCATTAAAGTTGTAGGGGTCCTTTTAGAATAAAAATTGCTAAATGAATTGTTTTGGAATTTGCAGTAGTTAGAAATGCTAATTTATACAGCAGAGGAAAACATAAATACATAATAGGGCAAATGTGTCTTACTAAAGCTCTTGTAAGCAAAATTTAGGGGCCTTAGCAGACAGTAATACTAATATGACTCAAATTAGAAGTGTATTATAACCTCAAAAGTATCTTAATCTTAAAAAATGAACTTTTAACATCTTTCATGAGAATGCAATAGCCCTGCTATACTCTGCTTTAATGAGACTATACTCAAATATTGTGTTCAGTTCTGGTCACCTCAACTTGAGATGGCACAGACATGTTGAAACATGCGCAGGAGAGGGCGACCAGGTTGGTGAGGGGAACAATAGAAGGAGGTAGCAATGATATACCTGAAAAAGAAATAATAATAAAACCAAGAAGAAATAGAAAAAGTATTTTTAAATATCTGAAAGATTGTCACACAGAAAAGGCAGATTTTTTTCCAAATACTATGTAGAATATAGTCTTCCCATCAACTTGGTCAAATATACCAAAGCTTGACTCAATGAGTAGAAGCTACAGGAAGTTCAATAACGTGAAGAATTGTTAAAGACAGAATTGTCCAAATGTACTAGGCAGTTTAGGAATTAAAGAATTCTCATTATTTGAAGGGCTTGGGCACAGGAGATCCTAAGCAGATGAGATTCTAGCAGATGTTTGTTCAGACTGAGTGACCTTTAAGGAATCCTTTTCAACAATTAAATTCGGCAATACCACAAAATCAAAAGCCATTTGATTCCGACAGCCCTGGACATACTAAAGTAAGGGCCAAAGATTTTAAAGAAAAGATGGATAAAATGAGAATTTAAAATTGCCAATTTCAAATTCTCAAGCTGAGATAAACACATTTCTAATTAAGTAACAAGGTCAATTAAGTTCAAATTTAGAGATTCAAAATCTCCATTTTTGAAATTATGTGGTTAGTTATTCATATGTATAAGGCTGTTAGATAGTCCATTCAAACTTGGCCTCTCATCAATGGGGATACTTTTGGACATTTTGTTAATGACCAGTACATTTTTAGGTCTGTGATTGTCATACTATGATTCCTAATAATTTCATTTGACAAACATACTTTTGACATCATGTTTTGTGTGTGTAAACATCTATGTAAGAATATTATTTTTTCTTTTATCTTCTGCACAGAAGAAGTTACTCTGAAATGTATGAGAAGGCAAAGAAACATAATGACAGTAGGCATATTACTCTGAAAGTCCTAAAGACGATAATAAATATTATCCATCTGGGGATAGAAGGGAGGTAAATGTATAGCTGATGTTTCAGAGAAAAAGAAAGAAAAGCGAGTAAATGTCTTTAGCATTAATCAAAACAACATTTACAAACATTGAGCCAGATCCTCCAAGGACCCTAAATGACCACCAGGACATTAGCTCACTGGGGTGTGTAGTCCCTGGCCACAATGCATTATAGTGGGAAGTCACTGATTGAATAACAAAAAGATTAAAGTGGCTTCGGACCAGGTAGGCTTTCCCACTATGTAGGTTCCCACTGAAATTTGTGCAACTCAAAGAAAGAAATCATATGAATTAAAATAGGGAAGATTACTTAAAGGCAAAAAAAGACTAGCAACACTAAGACTAACCCAAAAGAAAGCTACTACATGAGAGGTGGCAAATGGAGGTCACAATAGGGTAGAATGTATTTGATGATCTCCCATCATTTGGGAGATTCAAATGATGTAAGAAAAACAGTTAAACACAATTTTCCCATGGTAAATATTTTGTCATTTCAGTGAAACTCCAAAATGTGTCATCTGTACAATATTTACTCACTATAAAAATGCTTGTTTTCCAATGGACCTCTTAAAGATGCCATTCATTGATATATCTGTATATTATGACCTGGTCAAAGTATTAGTTTTTAAGCAAGACAGAAACTAATTTCTGAAAACACATAAAGTACAGCTACAATAATATTTTGATCTCTTTCATTAAATCATTATTGAAAATTTCTATTTCAAAAGTTTTTTTCAGGTTGTTTTCATTATCAGTTCAAGATCAAAAGCTGCTTTTTCTACAGAGTTTAGCAGAATGGGCAAATCTTAGGGCATTTAAAAGGATTTCGTATAAGGAACCTTCTCGTTTTAAAACATAATGTAATCATAAATATTAATCATTTTTCTCTTTCTAGATTTCAGATGCAAACATAAAAGCATCAGTATTCTGTTTGATAGAAACAAATAGAAGGCAAGTAATCCAGATAATTAGTGATACTTTTATATTTTAAAGTTAGGAAACGGGTTCAAGGAAAAGAGGATTCAGAGACTTAAAAAGGAGAGTTAATAGTACCAGATATACATTATTTAAATAATACACAAATTAATAGTCTCAAGATAATATGAAAAATTAGTAGCTCAAGGAAATATTATATTTCAAAGATAAGAAATGAAAGATAAAGTTGGTAGTAGTTAAGTTTCATCACAGTAAAAATTTACAAATACCTTCTTCAACATCTGAGATATATTCGCCATCACTGAGCATTTCAGGGGCATTGGCTTTACGAACTGCATGATTTAAGTGAACAATATAAGTGGATGAAAAAATACATACTCTTGATATTACAACAAAACATTTCAATATTCCTGAAAGACATTTTTGCAATGGACTTTCTTCAGGAAACAAACGAAATACACAGTCACTTATAATTATTGTGAACTCAAAGAACATTTCATACCTTCATCATCAGACATATCAAGAACTTCATTCATCGTTTCTGGAACATTCATTTTGTGCTTCTCTGTGACGGTCTAGTAACAAAAAAGCAGTCATTTCAGTGTGAGCAGATTGTACACTTTAGTGGGCCTTTTCATTTATCTCTGAGTTAATCAGTTTCTTGTGGAATGCATGTGTTGAATATCCTGAATCTCCCACATGTAAAATGACATCAAAATTGTTGTCCCTTAGTGGCACAAAGGTTGTCACCATATACAGAACACAGGAGTACACAGTGAAAGAATTCTAGTGGCAAAGTACCACAGCTTAAAAGATTTAGGTCTCTAATAAAGCTTTTCAAAGGAAAAGAGAAGATTCTGCCCCTCCTACTCCACTGCTGTACTTTTTCATGGTCTCATGAATCTACCACCCCATTCCATGAAAGGTCTTGGCTGAGGACAAGCCAAATGAACTGCAAGAAATATGTGTCTATTACTTGTGCCAAGCTTTCCATCTATTTTGTGTTCTCCTCTTATATGTAATTTTAATTCCTAGGATAAACGAAAACATTAAAATAATATTTACAACAATAATCTTTACAACAATGTGTATGAAAAAATACTTTAAAGGTGATGCATTGGCAGATCATTTTAGCCTTCCACAAAATCTAAAGAACAGTATATTATGCAGCAAATGCCTACTGCCTCTTTTACTTGCTCTTTAATAGCTTAGATTATATCCATCCAAAAGACACTGTCAGAATCACTGATAAGGAATTCTTAGACCATATCTATCCAAAAGACATTGTTAGCATCACTGGTAAGAAATTCTCAATGACTTTAGTTTAAAAGAGAGTTTTTTTTTTTTTTTTTTTTTAATTCTCAGCATACGAGACACTAATGGTACAAGAGAAGACACACACATGTTTAAATAAGACAACTGAAAAAAAGCCAGGTTGTTAAAACTAAAAAAAGGTACAAATTCATAGTTTCTTAGAGATAATACTTGGTAATGTGATTTCTACCCCTATCCCCAATTATTGTGTTGAAATAAAGCATTATTTGATGTCTTTTCCAGCATGTAATACTGCAATGGAGCAGTTTTAAAAATAAACTTTTATTTTTAGAAGAGTTTGAGATTTATAGAATAATTGTGAAGATAGTAAAGACAGGTCCTATATACCCTACGCCAAGTTTCCCCTATTATTAAATTCTTTATTAATATTATTATTATTGAGACCAAGTCTCGCTCTGTTGCCCAGGCTGGAGTGCAGTGGCATAATCTCGGCTCACTGCAACCTCTGCCTCCCAGGTTCAAGCAATTCTCCTGCCTCAGCCTCCCGAGTAGCTGAGATTACAGATGTGCATGGCGAAGCCCAGCTAATGTTTGTATTTTTAGTAGAGATGGGTTTTCACCACGTTGGCCAGGCTGGTCTCGAACTCCCAACCTCAGGTGGTCCACCTGCCTCAGCCTCCCAAAGTCCTGGGAATACAGGCATGAGCCACTGTGCCTGGCCTATTATTAAAATCGTTCATTAACATGGAAAATATCACAATTAATGAATCGACATTGATACATTATTATTAAAGTTTATATTTTATTCATTTTTCTTTAGTTTCTGCTTAATGTCCTTTTTATGTTCCAGGATCCCATCGAGGATACTGTATTACATTTAGTTGTGTCTCCTTAGTTTCCTCTGGGCTATGGCAATTTCTTAGACTTTCCTTGTTTTTTTAAAAAAATTAATGTAAAGTTCCAGGTTAAATGTGCAGGACGTGCAGGTTTGTTACATAGGTAAACAAATGTGTGCCATGGTGGTTTGCTGCACCTATCAACCCATCACCTAGGTATTAAGCCCCACATGCATGAGCTATTTATCCTGATGCTCTCCCCCTCCCCACCCCCAGGCCCTAGTGTGTGTCCTTCCCCTCCCTGTGTCCACATGGTCTTATTGTTCAGCTCCCACTTATAAGTGAGAACATGTGGTGTATGGTTTTCTGTTCCTCTGTTAGTTTGCTGAGGATAACAGCTTCCAGATCCATCCATGTCCCTGCAAAGGACATGATATCATTCCTTTTTTATGGCTACACAGTATTCCATAGTGTATATGTACCACATTTTCTGTATCCAGTCTATCATTGATGGGCATTTGGGTTGATTCCACATCTTTGCTATTGTGAATAGTGCTGCAATGAACATACACATGCGTGTATCTTTGTAATAAAATAACTTACATTCCTTTGGGTATATACTCCTTAATGGGACTGCTGAGTCAACTGATATTTCTGGGTCTAGGTCTTTGAGGAATTGCCACACTGTCTTACATAATGGTTGAACTAATTTACATGCCCACCAACAGTGTAAAAGCATTCCTATGTCTCCAGCTTCGTCAGCATCTGTTGTTTTTTGCCTTTTAAATAATTGCCATTCTGATTGGTATGAGATGGTATTTCATTGTGGTCTTGATTTGTATTTGACTTTCCTTGTTTTTGATGATCTTGACAGTTTTGCAGTGTACTGGTCAGATATGTCCATCAACTGGGGCTTGTCTCATGGGTTTTCTTTTTTCTTTTCTTTTTTCTTTTTAATGAATAGATTGGGGCTGTATGTTTTAGGGAGGAAGATCATAAAGGAAAAGTGCCATTTCATCACATTGTATCAAGGGTACATACCATCAACGTGACTTATCATTGTTGATGTTGACCTTGATCATATGGCTGAGGCAGGATTTGTCAGGTTTCTCCATTGTAAAGTTATCTATTTCCCCCTGCTTCCATACTGTTTGCTTTGCAAGAAAGTCACTATATTCAGCCCACATGTAAGCAGTGGGGAACTATGTTCCACTTTGAGAGTGAAGTATATTTTCATACATTATTTGGAATTCTTTTGCCTGAGACATTTGTGTCTTCTTTTCCATTTATTGAATTACTTATGTATAATAGTATGAATTAATGGATAGTTATTTTACAGTTTGTACCATACTTCAATACTATTATATTTATTTATTTTTGCTCAAATTGTTCCAGCTATGGCCACTGGGAACTCTTTTAGTTAATTCCTATGTCTCTTCGACATACCCCCCACCACTGTGTCTCTGTATTAGTTTATTTACTTTTGTTGGGGGGGGGGGGAGGAGCATTTCCTTACTTTTTGACACTCTAAGATGTTCCAGGCTCATCTTATATGTTTCCTTTGCTGGCCTTAGATTCAGCCATTTCTCCAAAAAGCACTGTTTGCTTTTAGTAGAGAATGGTATTAGCAACCAATATCTGCGTGCTAGAGGTATTCTGCTCCTTACATATGAAGTAATTGGGTATTTTAAACAACGCAGTTTCGATAGATACAATTCACATCTTTTGAATATCAGTTTCTATCCATTCAGTTTGGTATGCTGTGTTGATTGTAATCTAATTAACTAAACCATCTTTCTCAGCATTGCCACATCATGTATTTTACTAATATGGAAAAGACATTCTCTTTGTTTTGAAAAACTGAAGTCTGCTTATAGAGTCAATGGCTGCTGGAGTCCCAGTAACTGGCTATACAAATATCATGCCCGTGGTGGAGGCTGAGCTATAGTTATTAGCTTAAAGTCATAGACTCCACCCTGAATTACATCAGTCCTGTCTAAGCTAGTTTACACGTAACCACTAAAGCAAGGCTGACAAGGTGGTGTCTCAGCTCGAGAAAATGTACCAAATACCACAATGCTGGACAAAATTTTAGAGACTTCTATGGACTGTTTTTTAATTGATGTGAACACTTCTTTTGGTGGAAGCCTCATTTTCTTCACTAGGCAAACTGGACCTTTCCAATTAGCATGCATAGTGTCTTCTCTTTTTTGCAGAAAGTCACCAACAAGGATGACTGACGATGTTGAGAGTGAAAAGGCGCTACTCCTGTAAACATTCTCTTCTCATGGGAACCTGATGGAGCTCTGAGACCTTTCTCTGTCTTTCAGTCGATTTTTTGAAGCTATAACTTTGTTTTGTTCTTAACTCTACTTTCTCTTAAAGCTTTTTTGATTTTGAAGAAACGTTTTGAAATTTCCTAATAGGTGAGAAAGTCATTTACATTCAACCAAATAAGATATTTATTTTGAACTTTTACATGTCTCAAGTCTTTTAACATTGAAATAGAAGTATTAATATTATCTATTTACTGCAATGGCTTCAAATCTTTATAGCATTGTGACACTTGGCTGTCGTTAAATAGTTTGTCCTCTTCTTCTCCTTTCCTATCCTAGATAGAGCTACATGGGATATAAAATTAAAGGTAATAAACATTATTGGTTTGAACACTTTTTTTGAGAACTTAATGATATATTTTAATATAATAAAATCCTCAAGAGGTGTATGAAAGCAACATGTGGAAATTTACCTCTTAGACAAAGTATATCTTGAAGTTTAGAATGTGTGCTGGTTGATAATCATTGTTCTATTCCATTAAAACAATTGTTTTCTCTTTCACAAATTACAAATTTTTTCTCCCGTAATCAGCAGGTTTGTGAGTAAAATTGCCAGAAAACTCAAACTGCAGGTAGCTACAGAGACCCTCAACCCTTTTTGTGAAACCCATTTTTCACAAAAAGCACTGGGTATACAAACTAATTTGCAGATGCTAACCATTTTCTCCTTCATGTTGGAAAGTGGTCGAAGAGAAAAGGGGACAGAACTGATAATTCAAAATGTTCCAGAGTCCTAAATTTACTTTGTTAAGAGTCAACCTCAGGCCTATGTGTTGAGTTATGGAGTTAGGAATAACTCAAATAAGCCTCTGATATCATGTAATATTTGCCCTTAATTCCAAAGTTACCAAATCTTGATGCTGTTCATAGGTACCAGATGGGGTTGGAAAGAAATGACTTATCCTAGAGACTGCAGCTTGTAAAAATGTAGTTGATGCAATAGGGCCTCCTGGTAAAGATCCACTTTAAATGTTAACAAAACAGTCTATTGTGTTTCTATGAAAACTCCAGGTGGACAGAAGATGAGTAACAGTAGCAGGCAAAACCAGTTCTGATTCATCTGGATTTTTTTAAAACAATGTAAACATTTTTCACAGGAATGATAATGGATCCACGTACCATTTGTGCATTAAAACATTTTTAAGGAAGCAACTTAGAGTTTTCAATTTCTTTACATTGCCAAGGAAGGATGTTAAAAAATTTCTGCCTTCACCATCATTTCATTAAAAACTTGTTATATCAAAGCAAACAAATAAATAAATACATTTAGCTGTATATTGAAGTAAAAACTCTATAGCTACAAATGCATCTTTTAAATAGGTATTCTCAGTGTTTTAAATTTTTATTCATATTAGCAATAAGAGTTTTCCTATCCTGACTACCAACAATGAGGTGACTGTATTTTAAAACATGGTGCTTAGTTTATGAATGGGAAAAAACCTTCATCTCAGAAAAGCCCAAGAAAACTGGCTGAAAGCTGGTTCCTAGGGTAACAAGGCTCTGCATTCCTTACTTACAGTTGTGGTCATGGTCTCTTCGGTCACTATCTTCAGGGTGTCCACTACTGAGATGTAGCCGAGGCGCCGGGCAATGCCAAGGGCAGTATTCCCATTCTGGCAAAAGGAAAATGTGAATGAGGAATTAGCAAGCCTCATTCCACATTTTTTTGCTGATACAAAATGTAAGGTGAGTGTCTCATCAGACCCATCCCGCTGTCATACAGAAAAAAAGTGTTTCATTAGAGACATACCTTGCACAAAACCCACCTAACCTGTTTGTACTCACACAGTAAAGTCTGGGCAGCTACACATGCAATCCAAGAGGCTTTTTAACGTTCTAAGTAAGCAGTCAATGAAACCAACACAATTTTTTTTTCTTACATGTGTACTTCCTGCTAGGTGACAATACAGCAGGTAGTTTTCACATATAAAACACTAATCATCTGTCTCTGAACAGTCCAGAACAATATGGTTATTGTCCTTCTTTCCTCATTCTACTGAATGCTCCGTTTATGCCTCTTCATGAAAGTACAATGAAAAATGTAAGAAGACACCAGAGTCCAGGCCCATCTATCTCCTCCCTCTTCTCCTGAGCTGGCCCTGAGTGCTTACCACAGTGAGTTCATTGGGGGAGGCATTGTTCTGAAGTAAGACGTTTATTATATGCGTATGTCCCTGCTGTGCTGCTTGATGTAATGGTGTATATCCATTCTGTAGAAGGAAGATGGAAGAGATGATTCTTAATTCCTTTGAAACAAAAATAAATGATTCTGGCAGAAACAAAAAAGGAAGGAGCTTACCTTTGTTTTGGCATTAACTTTTGCAGAATGCTGGAGCAGGAAATTAACAATCTTGATATTTCCGTAGTGGCAGCCCACATGCAGTGGTGTGTATCCCATCTGTAATTATTATTTTTTTTAAAAAAGAAGCATCATAATTATACTTTTACTAACAGCTATCCTAAACAGACGTAAAATCATTATTTAACCTTTCTTTTTGAGCTGGAAAAAGTAGGGTTTTTTTCTTCTCTATATAAAAAAATTGCCCTTGATAATTCTCAGCATAAGACTTAGGTATAAATTAAAATACCATTGCCCATAAAATTGTTAGCTCCTCAGAGTTCTTGCTTTATTTTTTATCAGCTCATCTTGTTCTTAGAACTCTTCAAGATAGAAAGGAAAGATGGACCAACTGACAGCATAGACAGACTGATTCAGCAGTTTCTTTCTCAGGGACAGAAGAGCACTTTATTGAGACTTGACTTGTTTATCGAATACTTTCTGAAAGCTTTAAATCTAGGCAAAAATGAAGGGGCTAAATAATAACACACGGCAGGAGGTGATCATCAGAATGCCTGATAGAGGTAGGAAGAAGCACAGAAACACTAAAAGGAAGAGGGAGGCTGGTATGAGCTCGGGTGGTCTGAGAAATATGAACTCGAACAAGGTATATCAAGTTAGTTTTTCGCCTTCCTACCTAGAGTCCCAGAGTTTGAAAACCACTGATTTAGACAAAGAAATGGATTGTTTCTCAAATTAGTATCCACTGACCCTTGAGAGTCTATAAGTTCTCTCTCTCTCTCTCTGTGTGTGCATGTATGTGTCTGTATACAATCTAGGTAATTATTTTTTTTTTAAATAAGGATATTCCAGATCCTTCTCTAGATGGCTGTGTTCATTATAACATACTACCCTGCAATTTCAGAGCCCCTGTTCATAATGACACGGGCAGTACCAGATCTCTGAAAGGGAGAACATTGACCTTTTATTACAATACTTCTAAACAAGAATAGGGGTGGGTGATCCATATTTTCAGGGGTCTGTATCTTATATGATGTCACTAGTGTCTTTATGGTGGCCCCAGCAAAGGAATACATTTGAATTTGAAAAAGAGATGCCCAAACCACTGTTGACTGTAGGAGGTGAAGATACCTTACCAGGGATGTGCTGCCCTAGAGAGGTGACTCTCGGTAGACTTTTTTTTCCCTTACATGTGTACTTTTTTGTCTCACAAAACAAACTGCCAGTGTACCCACACTGACCAGACTATCCCTGAAAAGCTCATCATAACCACATAGAGGAAACTGACTTACAGCCTCTAATGCCACTTAATACATGATGGAGGACATGCCTTTTCGGTGACCAGAATCCATTTGCCTGCTTTGCAGGGTTCTCCTTTTCAGTACAGAGGAACTCAGATACTGCACTCATGATCAGAATGCTGCTTAATAAGGGAAGCTTGAAAATAATGTGTCCAATAATGCTCAGTACAATTGGTTTAATTGATTGAAGTAACATTATTTCCAAGTTCAAAGAACTTCCCTTACAAGTCAAAACCATGTGGACCCAATATTTTCTAAAAATCTAAATATTAAAAAATTCTTTGAGATTTTAGTCAATTTGCCTAAGTTATAATACAACCATTTCTAATAGTTGTTGAGATGGATGTGTTGATTATATATATATATATTTAAGACAGGGTTGATTATTTATTTATTTGAGACAGGGTCTTGCTCTGTCACCAGGCTAGAGTGCAGTGATGGGATCATGGCTCACTGTAGCCTCCCCTCCTGGGCTCAATCTATCCTCCTGCCTCAGTCTCCCAAGTAGCTGTGACTACAGGCGTACACCACCACGCCTGGCTAATTTTTTCTATTTTTTGTAGGGCAAGGTCTCACTATGTTGTCTAGGCTGGTCTCAAACTCCTGGGCTCAAGTGATCTTCCTGCCTTGGCCTCCCAAAGTGCTGGGATTACAAGTGTGAGCCACCATGCCTGGCCTACGTATTTTAATGAACAAGTTCTATTCATACTCATAGCTTCCCATCTCATTCTTACTAAAACCCTAAATCATTATAAAACAGTGTTAGGAGTTCTCTAATTCTAATCTCCCCTATCCTCCTCATCCTCCATCCATACATCTTTTAATCCTCCCACCATTCTCTCCCTTGGTCGCTATGCTCCAGGGCACTGGTCTTCTTGCTGTTCCACAAACACTAAAGTGTTTTTTCAAAAATACGTGGGCATGGCCAAGAAGATTGAACTAGCATTCAGAGAAATCAGATGTGGGCTCCTCCATTCATTGGGGTTACCGGCATTCCCATACAAAATAGCACCTCACATAAATACGCTCAGAGAGGTGGGACGTGAGCGATTCTTTCCAATCAGCAGTAACACATTTTTCAAAGACTAGTTTTTTCTTGAGTAGCTAAATAAACAAGCAAACATATAAAGAGCCATAGCCCAGCAAACGGAGTAGCCTCTGCCTCTTTGCCATGGCAGCCTCACTGATAACATCATTACAAGCTGATTAGGTTTTTCCTTCCTTCCTTTGGACAACACTGGATAGAGCTCAGGAAAACCCTGCAAAATACATTCGAGTCTTTAACTACTTTCCTTCCTTTTTTCCTCTCTTGATTACCAAGTAGTAGATGTTTACGTCCATTCACTGATCAGGCTGCACTTCTGACTGATGAGAACAGGGGAAAGGAGGGTCTCAGCAGCCAGGAGCCTGGACCTCAGAGGCAGACTGTCTGGGTTTGGGACCCAGCTCTGCTACTTACTATCTGTGTGAATTTGGACAAGTTACTGAACCTCTCTGTGCATTGGCTTATGCATTATAAAAGGGACTTTAGTAATAGTACCAAGCTCATTGTGTTGTCATAAGGATTAGCTATGTTAACAATTATTTCACCAGTGTCTGACACATAGGGTTAGCTATTATTACCTCATGCTGAAAACAGTGCCTGGCACATCATCACTGCTCAATAAATATTTTAAATATTTGGTAAATTAATGATTGAAAACAGGAAAAGATCAGGCCGGGTGTGGTGGTTCATGCCTGTAATCCCAGCACTTTGGGAGGCTGAGGCGGGCAGATCACCTGAGGCCAGGAGTTCAAGACCAGCCTGGTCAACATTGCAAAAACCCAGTCTCTACTAAAAATACAAAAAGTACAAAAAAAAAAAAAAAAAAAAAAATAGCCAGACGTGGTGGCATGTGTCTGTAGTCCCAGCTACTCAGGAGGCTGAGGTGGGAGGATCACTAGACCCTGGGAAGTTGATGCTGCAGTGAGCCATGATCATGCCCATGTACTCCAGCCTGGGCAACAGAGTGAGACTCTGTCAAAAAAAAAAAGAAAAGAGAAAAGAAAAATGAAAAGAAATTGTCATTTCTACCTCTGGCTCAGCCTATCCCATTTCTGATACCCCTTATAATTTTGCTAACCAGGCCAGGCATAGTGGCTCACATCTGTAATCCCAGCACTTTGGGAGGCCGAGGCCGGCGGATCACCTGAGGTCAGGAGTTTGAGATCAGCCTGCCCAATATGGAGAAACCCTGTCTCTACTAAAAATACAAAAAAATAGCCAGGCGGTGGGTGCCTGTAATCCCAGCTACTTGGGAGGCTGAGGCAGGAGAATCACTTGAACCCGGGAGGCGGAGGTTGCAGTGAGCCAAGATCACACAATTGCACTCCAGCCTGGGTGACAAGAGCGAAACTCCATCCCCCACCAAAAAAATAAATAAATAATTTTGCTAACCATTTTTCTTTCCTCTGGCATGCTCATCTCAGCTTATAGACATATTTTTATGTTTCCATCTTAGAAACAAAAAGTACTCCTTTCAAATATTTGTCCTTTTCTCTAGGTTTCTATCCTTTCAAAACTAAACTTCTTGAAAAAAAAAATCTTCATACACTATTCCGCCCATTCTCCCTACATTTCATCATCTCCACTACTCTAGTAAAACTGCTTTATAATATCCCAAGTGCCCAGCCATGCATGGCATGCATGGACTTTGAGCTTCTCTTATCTGAAACACTTTGACAGTTTTTCATAATTTGACAGCCCTATCATATTCTTTCGTCATTTCTCCTCTACCTTTGGACAGGCCCTCCTTTGCCTCCTTCATCCACTATAAAATGGAGTGGATCCCAAGGGTTTTGTCTTTGGTTTGTGCCACATTTTTCCTTGAGGATTACACCTACTTTCACAGTGTCAGCTAATACCTTTATTGCGATGATTCAGAAATCTGCATCTTTAGTCCAGCCATCCTTTCTGTGTCCAGATCAATATGTGAGTCGTTTATTGGGTTTTCCTACTCGAATGGCCCCTAGGTAATCTATAATTCAACACACTCAATACGAAACTCATAGTCCTCTTTCCCCAACTGGCTTTGTCTCCTTTATTCTCTGTCTCATTGAATGGTACTTGTGATCACCCAGTTGCACAGGTCAGATCCTTAGTTTCATCCTGAATTTCTTGCTTCTCCTCAGTCCCCATACACACATGGTCTTCAGACTTTTTTTTTTTTTTTTTTTTGAGATGGAGTCTTGCTCTGTTGCCCAGGCTGGAGTGCAGTGGCACCATCTTGGCTCACTGCAAGCTCCGTCTCGTGGGTTCACACCATTCTCCTGCCTCAGCCTCCCGAGTAGCTGGGACTACAGGCACCCGCCACCACACCCAGCTAACTTCTTTGCATTGTTTTAGTAGAGACGGGGTTTCACCGTGTTAGCCAGGATGGTCTCGATCTCCTGACCTTGTGATATGCCTGCCTCGGCCTCCCAAAGGTCTTCAAATCTTACCTGTTTGTATGTCTTTTAATTATTTCTCTAATTTCTCTCCTGTTCCTCAGTGTCTCATCTGCCACTTAGTTCAGGCCTTCTTCATTCTTCATTTGGATTTCACAATAGCCTAACTGCCCCTGCTCCAAGGTTTAAAATCAACTTATTCTTTGCATTGTTTCCCAGGATCTTTGTAAACCAGACTGCTGATCTTATCACATTTGTGTTTAAAACCTTCAGTGGCTTCTCAGCGCACACAGGATAAAAAGCTGAACAGTTTAGCCTGGTACATTAAGGCCCTCTGAGATCTTCTTAATTTTCTAGCAATATCTTAAGACATAATCCCCGTTTTTCTTCTCACGTTCCCATGATACTGAACAAGCTATAGCTTCCTCTATCCTACCTTACCTTTGTCAAAAAACTTAGTTATTACCTAATACTCTAAAATTATATATATATTTCTAGATATAGGCCTATGGTCAAAATCAGGCTTTGTAATAATTAGCTTTGGGACCTTATGCAAGTAATTACTTTTTCTGTGCCTCAGTTTTCTCATCTGTAAAATGAGGATGTTAATTTCACCAGCGTCATAGGGTAGTTGTAAGAATTAAACAAAATAATAACTATAAAGCACCGAGAATAGTAGCCGGCACAGAGAAAATGGGTAATACATTGTTTTATTTTATTATGATGATGACTTTGTTATTATAATACTATGTGTTTTGCTCTCTAAACTATGAATTCTATGAGGGCAAGGAATGTATCTCCCAGGTAAGAATTTGGTGACCAGTAGGGAATCTATAAATAAACGTGAAATGAGTAAGCATCACATAAGTTCTCAAAGCTTTTTACGCTTTTACACACATTTAAAGAAATCCAGTGTAACTCCTGATCCCTAATTAGTGTCCTCTAAGAATCAATGCCTTTCAGGGGTGGTCTAAATAAAATGCTTCCGGACATTATCCTTCTAAAAAGCAAAAGCAGTGGCTTCATCTCTATCAAACAACATTGATTATTATACCCTGTGGCACAATTTAGCTTAAAATCATTTGGTGAAACTTCAAATGCAAAAGGGGGGTGGGGTATAAAGGGTCAGCAAACTGGAGGGGTGCAGGGGGAGAGGACTGCAAAGGCTGTTACCAGGATTTTCTAGTCTTTTCCTCGTCAGCGAGAAGAGGTCTTGATATTTTATTATTATTATTGTTTCATGTAAGCTAATGAGTTGAATGGTATACATCCCACCTGTGGGCTGCTTGGGGCTGTCTTCTTTACCAGCGAGAATGTGAACATTCCTGGGATACAACAAACTCCTTATGCACAAAACTAAGCAGCAAATGCAAGCAACCCAGCTATCTGCACTTCTGCTGTGCTCTAGTTATGGGACAATCATGGCTTCACTTCCTTTTGGTGGCTGTGACCTTTGCAGAGAAGAGAAAGGAAAGGAATAGAGGTTGTGAAGGACAGAGAGATGCTTTCTGAAGTGAGATGCTCTGCTCCGTTCATAAAGGGCAGGAAAAGTTACATGCCGCAAGGTATTATAAGGAGTATAAAAATGACTATGTGGCCAGGCACGGTGGCTCATGCCTGTAATACCAGCATTTTGGGAGGCCAAGGCAGGTGGATCACCTGAGGTCAGGAGCTTGAGATCAGCCTGGCCAACATGGTGATACCCTGCCTCTACTAAAAATACAACAATTATCTGAGTGTGGTGGTATGCGCCTGTAGTCCCAGCTACTCAGGAGGCTGAGGTGGGATCGCTGGAATCCGGGACGTGGAGGTTGCAGCAAGCCATTACATTCCAGCTTGATTGACAGAGTGAGATTACCTTTTGGAGGAAAAAAAAAAAAAAAGACTACCAAATGGAACCTGAGTTGGGCTGGGTTAGGAGGAAGCTGTGGTGGAGTCCTGAGACTCGTACACATCAAGGGGCCGTGTGTGCAAATGGAAAACAGACGGAGGCAGAGCAGTACTTGTTTCTCTCCTCCCCCACCTGGCTTTGAGAATCTTCACCATACTCCCTGGCTGAATTTTAGGGCATGGCTTGGATGTGCTGGGGCAGAAAAATGTTGAGAAACTTGACCCAGACCTTGCCTTCTAGAGTTTCATATCTACAAAAAGGAGAGAGAACCTAATAAAGTGTTTGAGTCTGTCTGTCTGTCTGTCTCTCTCTCTCTCTCTCTGTGTGTGTGTGTGTGTGTGAATAAGCAATATGGAATGAAGATATTTACCATGAAGTTGCAAATTTCCAAAGTCAATAATTATTTCCTGATGAAAGTATTCAAGCAACATAAGAAAATAAGCTAAATTCAATCTCATTTTGGTGTCAATACCCTTTTATCTAGCTAATTTGGGATAGTATTTCTATATTACTAGTTACTTCAATATGTCCATATACATCAGAACCTACTTATATTACATATAAAAATTTTATTCACAATATTTAGTAGTCATTCTTTTTCATGTCAAATATGGCATATAGAAAGAAAACATATGTGGCCGGGCGCTGTGGCTCACGCCTGTAATCCCAGCACTCTGGGAGGCTGAGGCATGCGGATCATAAGGTGAAGAGATCAAGATCATCCTGGCTAACATGGTGAAACCCCATCTCTACTAAAAATACAAAAATTAGCTGGGCGTGGTGGTGGTGCACGCCTGTAGTCCCCGCTACTTGGGAGGCTGAGGCAGGAAAATTGCTTGAACATGGGAGCGGAGGTTGCAGTGAGCCGAGATCAAGCCACTGCACTCTAGCCTGGTGACAGAGCGAGACTCTGTCTCAAATAAAAAAAAAAAAAGAAAACATATGTTACAGTAGATAACACAAATCTGATATTAAGCATATAAAGAAAAATTTCAGAGAAATGTGATTAATGTGAAGCTATATCTTTGACGATGACATGAAAAGTCTTTTATTTTTCTGTGTTTGAATTGTGGCATTATATAAGACTAATCAGTAATTTTTTTTTTTTCATTTTGAAATGAGAGTTTTTTTGTCTGAGAGAGGGAGAATGCAGGCAAGACTGCACAGACCATTAGGAATTTAGCAAGTGAGTAATATTTAAATAAGCCTTAATTTATCCTGTTTCATAAATCGTGCTGAACGAACATAGGGGTCATAAATTACAAGTTTTTCTATTTGTCTATTTGTCTGCATTTAAAAAATCCATCACACAAACTAAGAGAGGTACAAGCTTTCACATTCTGCCCCTAAAGGAGCATCTGTTGTAAGGAGGCTCAATAGTGTTAATATAGTGGGAAATTATTATACAGTTAGGATCAAGTACCCAGGCCGTTAAAGACAAAAGTCCCTGGAATATGGCAATCAGAGACTTTAGTGTCCCTTGCATAAATATATATTTAAAATACTACATAGAAAAGAGATGATTAAAGGGTTTGTTCTCCTAATATGAGTATAGTTTCTTCCTTACTGCGGTCACCAAATGGACACATTCTTTCCCGTGTGGAAAGGGAGGGGTGTATACCTTTGTCTGAGCGTCCACATGAGCCCCTTGGTTTACGAGGACTTCTGCCACATTCACTCGATCTTCTTGAGCAGCCAAATGGAGTGGGGTCAGGCCACTCTGCAAAAGATTCAAAGGGCACAGTCATCTTACGGGAAGTAATGTCACACACATAGCCACCATGTTTGAGAAACCACTTGTGAATTCTAAGATGGTAAGCCAAGAATTTCTATGTAAGAAAAATCCTATGGAATAAATTTATATGCTTGGGAGGCTGAGGCAGGTGGATCACATGAGCCCATGAGTTTGAGACCAGCCTGGCCGACATGGCGAGGCCCCATCTCTACAAAAATTAGCCAGGTGCAGTGGCATACACCTGTAGTCTCAGCTACTTGGGAGGCGGGAGAATTGCTTGAGCTCAGTAGGAGGAGGTTGCAGTGAGTGAGAGAGCGCCACTGCACTCCAGCCTTGGTGACAGGAGTGAATAAAACCTCTCTCTCTCTCTCTCTCTCTCTCTCTCTCTCTATATATATATATATATATATATATATATAGTATACTGTCTTAGCACTGTGGCAACATTAGTATCTGTAGGCAGGAAAAATTGTAGGCATACTCAAAAGTGTAAGAAATGGAGTGAGCCTTGTATACTCATCACAGACTTAGCAATTATCAAAGTTTTCCTATATTTGTTTCATCTATTCTTCTTTTCCTTTTCACTCATTTATTTGTGGCAGTATTAAAACAAATCTAGACATTATAACATTTACCCTCATACACTTCAGTGTTCATCTCCAAAAATTAGACTTTATTTTTTACAAAATTATGCAAGAGTTTTAATATATTGTCAATGGCACTAGCTTTACCAAAAATTATTTAAATGATATCTGTTTACTAAGTGAACATTGACATATGCTGATAATATTTTCTCCATATTAATTCCCAAGGTCTAATGAATATTTTCTGTATGTCACTCTGGGTAGGAAAGATCGCCTGTGGAATGTAATGTGAATGCAAGATCATGAGAATTTCCAGGTCATTTAGATGATGTATGGGTTTAACAAGACTGATACAGTATTTGAAACTAACCCTATTAGAGAATTTGCAGAACACGTGGTTGCTCTCATGACCAAGAAAAAAAATTACTAAGACTATTCTCTGGTTGTAAAAAGCCTCTTTACATTGTAAACCATTTTTTTGTAATATTTAAGAGAAAGTGAGCTGGTGTAAGTGCTTTCAGATTTTTTGCTTTCATCCATTATGAGCACAGAAGTTAATATCTTAATCCTGGAAGTCTTTTCTCCCCCTCTAGCATCTGTGCAATGAAAATATCAGCCTGTCCTATTTGTCAGAGGAAAGGAGGTAATCAAAGGCAGTTTTAGGAAGAGCACAGAGCCTTCTAGATGTGCAACATTATTTATTCAGGGGTTGTTATTCCATCAGAGCAATTATGGAATGCAGAGAGAGTCAAGCTGGGACTTTTTAATAATGTTTACAGAATTTTGGAGGAAGCTCACTCGAACTGAATCAAGGGGGAAATGTGAAAAGCAGGACTGATGCATTCACTTGCAATTCAAGAAAAATAAGCCAGGGCCAAAATTGGCACCACCCAAACACTGACCTCATCATAGAACCGTGTTCCATGTTCTACTTCAGAGGAAATAATATTGTCAGCCATAATATTTTGTGAGTGTCATGGTCACCTATTCTAAGTTTGAGACTTTTGACACTGACGGTGCTTTACTGAGTAGCTCTCAGCAAAGACTGAGAAATGCGTTGTGGGCACATGTTGTCCTCTCACGCTCCCACGTCTAGGTGCCTGCTGCTCACCTGGCTTACCCACTCACTGATGGAGTCACTTCAGGCTTCCCTGGCCTTTCTCCCTTCTCATTTCAATAAAGGGCCAAGTTAGTACATTTATTTGCAAACCTACTATGTGCTCACCTCAATTAAAACTATCATAATCCTGCATTTAAACTCTGTTTTCTTGCTTGTCTTCCTCAAACCACTGTGAGCTTATTGAGGCAAGTATTGTATCTTTAATTTTCATATAACCAGTGTCCAGCATCTAGCATTTAATCTACCCATTCATTGATTAAATCAGAGAAAAAAAGTCAAACATTTTTCTTAGGTAGAACAGGATAAATTATATAAATAACATTTTATTTTTATATTCATGGCTTTATTAAAAGATTTTAAAAAACAACCACAGCCCTGTTTGAGTTCAGAAGTTACCTGTTAATCTTTTATGGCATTTTGATCATTGCTCATTTTAAAAATAGCACTTAGGGCTGGGCGTGGTGACTCGTGCCTGTAATCCCAGCACTTTGGGAGACCAAGGTGGACGGATCCCCTGAGGTCGGGAGTTCGAGACCAGCCTGACCAATATGGAGAAAACCCGTCTCTACTAAAAATACAAAATTAGCTCGGTGTGGTGGTGCATGCCTGTAATCCCAGCTACTCGGGAGGCTGAGGCAGGAGAACTGCTTGCACCCTGGAGGCAGAGGTTGTGGTGAGCTGAGATTGCATCATTGCACTCCAGCCTGGGCAAAAAGAATGAAATTCTGTCTCAAAAAAAAAAAAAAAAAAAAAGAATTTATTTGAAACAGAGAAAACATCAAATTAAAATAGCAACAGCTCTGTTTAATATTCTTCCAGTTGTATAAAAAATATAGCATTGGGGTCTGCAAAACCTATATGGAAAAATAGGGACATCAAAAGCAAAATTGAATCAAATTGAATAGTAGCACCTAAACAATAACTTGGGGTTCATGATCATTTTTCCTTAAGAGTACTGGGAAAGTCCTGGTTACTAGTAAAAAAAAAGAAAGTAAAAACAATAAAGTGTTTAGTTCAACATAAATTATGAAAGCTAAATCTTTCTTTCAATAGTTATTTTTTAGCAAGGAAATCAAATGTAGTGTTATATGAGAAGAGGGAAAGGAAGGCAGGAGAAGGGAGGAGGGAACAGTGAGTAATTGATGCTTAAAACACTGACAACTCAGGAAAAACTGACAAAAACTGAGAGACAGTTCCTTATTGAATAATAAAAAGTTTTGCTGCTTTTCTGTTTTCATATGAGGGCATGTTTAGTGCTTTATATTGAAAATGACAACTGAGAAAGGATGCAAGGATTTACAAATGCCTTCTCATTAGATCGTTTCTAATGAGAAGTTAGAAGTTAAAAGTATTAGAAGTTCTCAGAAGTTCCTCAAGTTCAACATGCTAATGGAAAGCCAGCTGATCTTTTAGAATTCCTCTAGGAATATCTCTGTTTGTGTATCATTTATTTAGGAAGGTGGCCAGAAATTTCCAGGTTTCCCTGGTTTACTATATGTCTTTGAGTCTTCAGAATTCCTTTCGTTAATTTCCACTCTACTAAAGCAAGCACAGAGAAAATTTTTGCCCTGAATATTTTTAGCCTAAAATCATTCTATGAGTCTAAGGTGAATTCAAGGCTGGGTATATATTGTACCAGTTAGCTGCAGGATTTTGAAGAAACAAAGTCGGTCACACTGCAGTTTGGTATCAAACCTACTGGAAATATTCAATGTAAACCAATTGTGAAAGTACTACATTGTTTCTGGAAGAACTGGTGAAATACAATATTATGGGCTCAGAAGAGAAAATACACTCTGATACCAGCATGTGCTTCAATTTGGGAAACAAAAGGTCCTCTTTGTCATAAAGACAAGTTGAGTTTTGAGGCAAGCCATTACAATTCTTGTCTCTAAATTGGTATATAAAACTATAGAAAATTCAAAAGATCAAACAAATCTTAACTATAATGACTATTATGAAATTGCTTTGTTATTCCCATTAATGCTGAGACATGCACTCATAAAGGGAATGTTTAACAAGAAAAAAAGAAAATTAAAAAAATTAAAAAAAATTTTGCTCTGTAATGACCAAAAAAGATTTTCACAATACTAAAACTAAAAAAACATATCCCTGGTCTCCCGTATATGTCTTTTGGTCTACAGAATTTGTTAAATGATAAACTTGAGAATTCAGATTGATATGGAGTGAGCTTTTTCCAAAATTGTAAAAATTCTAAAATTAAAAAAAGATTTTTTCTTAGTCAAAAAAGTGTTGAATGTTATCTCAGTGAATCCTCACAGCATCTCCTGAAGTCAGTATTATTATCCCCACGTACTAAAGGACAAACTGAGCCTCAGAGAGGTGATAGAACTTGCCTGAATGACACAGGAAGAATCTGACTTAGGATTCAAACTCTCTGTGATTTCAAAACACACACACATGTGTTAAAAGTATTTAAATTACTTGTTATTTGTCAACATAAGACTATTGCTATTTTGAAACCCTACTCCAATATCTGAGCTAGGGCTGAGAAATATCATAGCTATGCCCACACCCAGCAGGCAGAAGAGAAGCTAAATGCCAGAGAGTGGAGCTTATCATGAATCTGAGGGCCCTTTTGCATGGTTTCCTATTATCTGAAGATTTAGAAACACCTGTCTTGTGTTTTGGGCAAATCTTAATGAGCAATTCAGCAAAGCTAAATTCTTTGATATATACAGGGAGAGGCAGTAACTTCATTAACATGTTTCTGGTTAATTGTGGGCTGAACTTTCACTTTGCTTGATAAAACTCTAGTCTTTTCTTTATGAATAATGAGGATATCAAAGATGACAGCATGGGTGTTGGAAGAGTTTAGGGAATAGTCTTCACAAGTTCCTTCAAAATTGCCAGCAACTTCCCCTATCTACTCCATAAAATAGCTATGCTAAATTTGTTATTAAAATGAACTCACAAAGGCAGCAATATTTCCCATTTCTCTTTGTAACCTAGAACTTAAAAACGGATGAGCAAGGAGCAGGACCCCAAAAATGTTCGTGGAATAAAGCAATGGGCTACAGTTTGCAACTACTTATTTGCTATGTTATGGTGAAGTAACAATGGTGCTCTTCGAATTAACATTATAACAAAACTTTATGTTACTACAAAAACTTCCTGGACTTCATTTTTATGGCTATATGTATATAGAGTCACCTGCAAATACACTCATTGTCTGACTGAATTACCTGAATTATTTGTTTACCATTATCTTTCTCTCTCTCTCTTTTTTTTTTTTTTTTAAAGACACAGGGTCTCACTCTGTCACCCAGGCTGGAGTATAAAGAAGCAATCACGGCTCACTGCAGCTTCGATCTTCTGAGCTCGAGCAGTCCACCTGCCTTGCCTTCCCAAAGTGCTGGGATTAAATGCCTGAGCCAGAGCAACTGGCCCTATTGACTGTTTTTCTTATTGTTTAAACAGATTGTTTCCAAATTTTTGCTCTGTTAAGTAACACTTCGGTAAACAACTTGGTGCAATATTATACTTTCACATCCTATTTGACCCAGATCTTCTGTGAATTCTTAGTGACCTTTCTGAGGGGTGAGGTTTTGGTGTGCTGCATGCTTTGTCAAGAAAGAAGTGGGTTACCTTATTGCTCAGGTTCACATTCGCATTTCTACTAAGGAGCAGCGACACCATGTCCACATGCCCTTCCTGAGCTGCGAGATGGACGGAAGCAATTCCTTGCCGGGTAACTGCGTTGGCATCAGCACCATATTCCAGCAGAGTTGTTGCTATGTCCATCTGGTTCTTTTTGGCAGCGATGTGCAGTGGCGTATAACCATTCTGTCAACACAAATCACTTGGTCACATGCCCAGGAACAAGATAAAAATGTGTACAGTGCATTTTCAAATAGTAGCTGTCTCTTTCTAGTGGTTTTCTATGATTGCTGAAGAAATCATGATTAAGTAAGCAAATACTGGTAAACCAAGTGATACTATGAATATAGTGCCCTCATGTCTCCTGCATTCCTAAGTAGTAGGGAAAACATAACTTAATATGGACATTTTATTTAATTATTTATTTATTTTATTTTATTTTTTTGAGACGGAGTCTCACTCTTCGCCCAGGCTGGAGTGCAGTGGCGCCATCTCAGCTCACTGCAAGCTCCGCCTCCCGGGTTCACGCCATTCTCCTGCCTCAGCCTCCCGAGTAGCTGGGACTACAGGCGCCCGCCACTGCGCCCGGCTAGTTTTTTGTATTTTTAGTAGAGATGGGGTTTCACCGTGTTAGCTAGGATGGTCTTGATCTTCTAACCTCCCAATCCTCCCGCCTCGGCCTCCCAAAGTGCTGGGATTACAGGCGTGAGCCACTGCGCCCGGCTTAACATGGACATTTTAAGCAAAAAGAGTCAGAGTATTATTGGTTTTCTAAAAGGAATATAGATTTCCCTTTTACAGGAAGTTATGTTACAACATGCTCAATAATTACTTGCTTTATTTAAATTGAGGACAGGAGGAAGAAGCAACAAACAATCAGTTATCACTAGGGCATGTTCAGAGCCATTCATTCTTTTCTTTAAAAAAATACCTTTAATGGCCATCTATTGCTTACAAGTTGAAATTTTTAATGTTCATGGAAGTTAAGACACTATAATCTCTTCTCATGTGGCCCTTTGATTTCCTCCTTTACAAAACTTGTCTTTATGCTGGTCTGTCATCCTGCACATCCCCCAAACAGAATAGAGTCTCATGTTTCTCTGTCTTGCCTTACTCTACAAGAATGCTCTTCCCTAACATGCCCAGGAGCCAGCATCTGTCAGCTGAAAATTCAGCTCAACGGTCACACCCTCCATGAGGTTTTTTATTTCTTCCCACCCCTCAAGCCTCAACCCCTACCTCCAACCCTGACTGACTCTTATCAAAGTCCTGGGGATATTTAGTGGTACTCTTTTGTTTACTTATCTATCCCCTCCAACTAAATATACATTTGTTAAGGGCACATATTGTGTCATATTTGTCTTTGTGTCTCTCTAGTGCCTCACAATAACTGCCACGTATTAATTACAGGAAGAAAGGAATCCTCAGATTTTGAATCAAGGGTACCAGAGCTTTCAGCACATTCTGACATCCTTCTCTTGGCTAACCCCTGATAACCACAGAGAGACAATCAAGATTCCCTTGATAAACTGTTGGTCAGCTGTGCCTCAGGAGCCATCAGGGTCTCCTGCCCCAAGAAAGAGTTTTGGGGGATGTTGCCCTAGTTCACAGTCACTTACAAGAAGTGCAAGATTACATTTTGACATGGACATAAACCTGAGTATATCGAATATGCTAATGACAAATTAGAATGATTTTTTTTTTTTCCACAGACAGGAAGGTTTAGAAAAAGAAAATAGAATCTAAGAATTTGTATTTGGAAGTACGATCCAAATCTGGACAATGGATCAGTCACAATCCTTTTGAGCCATGTAGAAGGATCAGAAACAACACAGAGGGTTTTGAGGGTCTGCTGCACTCAGTACTCAGCCATCCTGCTGCAATGACCCTCACATTTCAGTCACTGGCATGTCCAAGTCCAACAGCATTCCTCACTTCACAAACCCTTATATCAACCCATGAAAGTGGAAATGTCACTTCTAGACTCTTCTGAAACTAGCCTCTGCCAAACTGGATGAGCCAGGGTAAAAGAAGATTTTATATCCCTATTTTTAATTTTGACCTATTGCCATCTGAAAACCCCAGCTGCCCTGAGAAGCATTTGGCCCTCTGCTGGGACACACCCTTCAGAGACCGATGCCCTCAGAGCCAACTGCAGAGCTTTGGTCTGAGCCCAACGCTGCAATGAGGGACAGGAGGAGGGAAGTTGTTTCATCTCCCCAACACTCCAGCATAAAAGAGAAAATTCACAAAGCAGCACTAACATAGGAAATATAATTAGTCAATGTGTCTAACACTAACCTAACTACTTCAAGTGGTAAAGACAAGATAAACTCAGAATTTAGCTTCTTATCATGTATCTTCTCTCTTTTTGCTTTTGCTGTTGACATAATCTTCAGGTTAGTCACTTCTCAACCCCTAACTAAGGTAAAGTAGCTCAAGACCCTCTCACACATGAAAATCTTGTTTACTTCTAATGCCACCAAAAAGTATCCTATGTCCTAAAAATTTTTTTTAATCAAGAGAACTGTAGCAGTCAGGCATGGTGGTGCATGCCTGTAGTCTCAGCTACTTTAGAGGCTGAGGCAGGAGGATCACTTGAGCTCAGGAGCTCAAGACCACCCAGGGCAACATAGGGAGAGTCTGTCTTTAAAACTCTGAGAGAGACAGACAGACAGAGACAGGGAGAGACAGATACAGAGAGAGAGAGACAGACAGACAGACAGACAGAGACGGACAGACCCAGCTCTGTAATATATGCCAATTCCAGACACATTACTATTATTGCTCAAGGATTTATCTTGAGCTCCTTACATGAGACACAAAGGAAAGTACAAAGCAAGGGAAAAATGACTCATGTATTATTTTACTATGAAAAGTTAATCTCAGAAAGACTTAATAAATATCTTCAAATAATAAGCACATTTATCTTGAGGCTTCTAATGGAATTTTCTAAATTTTCTAAGTTGTTTCTTCTTTGTGAAAATTAAAATGATCCTCACTTGCCACACTAAGAAAGGCAGATGCATCTATCAAAAGAAAAATTAAATAGCAAGTGATTCAACTGTAGAATAATTTTGACCTATATGTTTTTTTCCCTCTTGATGTAGAGGATAAAGCGCTTGCCACATGTGCTTTTGTATTTCAAAATTAAAGTAAAAGCAAATGCAACTTAAAATTATCAAAAGTAATATATAGCATTTAAATCATAATTGAATTTGTTTCAAGAACTTTCACAAATATACTGATCCACATCAATAGATATGTTGCATATTTTATGGAAGAGAAACCTGATAAATAATACTTAAAACTTACTATCTCTTCTACAATTAGTATCCAGGTTATACCTGAACTCAAGCCAATCCTCTTGCCAGCATAAGGTCCTGCCACAGGAAATAGATTGGACTAAAATAGATTAGAGCAGCCCATCTACTTTTCAGTACCCCAATTTCCTGAAACCTCATCACATTTCTAGGACATGTATGAGTAAGACAATACATTGGTAATTTTAAAAGAGAAGAAAGGAGAAGAAAGGGTAAGAAGAAGGCATCACATACTCTAAGAAAAAGGACAAAGGATGTGATTTGATGAAGAGTTAACATTGAGGTTGCTGCTGTCACATCCATATAGTAATCATGCCCTATTGAGGCTCTGTCCCTTATCTCTCACCACTGTCAGAATTCAGGAATGCCTGACCTTCCCTAGAGTAAAGAAGACCGATTGCCTGCTCTGTATTTGTTCTCCTTTCTTTTTTAGCAAAACCAAACAAACCCCCAAATCAAAACACAAAAAATAAAAGCAAAACAAAACAAACACACAAACTTCTCTGGCAGTGTGCTCAGCACTATTTCTCAACTTTTTTTGCACATAGAAGTGGCCAGTGGGGTGTAAGGAGATGTGGTTTGGTGGAACTTCTGGGAAAGCCCTGTTGTGCTGACTTTCTTGCTGCCTGTGGCTTGAAAGTAAATTTGGCAACCAATCAACTCTCTTTGAAGGGAAAAGCCAAAGATTCATTGCAATCCATGTTAAAATATCCACGTCATTTTTCACAGAATTAGAAAAAGCAACCCTAAAATTCATAGGGAATCAAAAAGGAGCCCAAATAGCCAAAGCAATCCTAAGCAAAAAGAACAAAGCTGGAGGCATCATATTACCTAACTTCAAATTATACTACAAGGCTATAATAACCAAAACAGCATGGCACTGTTATAAAAATATATGCATAGAAAAATGGAACAGAACAGAAAACACATAAATAAAGCCACATTCCTTCAGTCAACTGATCTTTGACAAAGTTAACAAAAATAAACACAGAGAAAAGGACATCCTATTCAATAAATGATGCCTAGGAAAATTTGATAGCCACATGAAGGAAAATGAAACTGGACCCATAACTCTCACCATATACAAAAATTAAATCAAGATAGATTAAAGACTTAAATGTAATAGCTGAAAGTATAAAAACTCTAGAAGAAACCATAAGAAAAACCCTTTTGGACATTGAGCTAGGGAAAAAATTCACAACTAAGACCTGAAAATCAAATGCAGCAAGTCAAAAAATAGACAAATGGGACTTAAGTAAACTAAAAAGCTTCTGCATAGCAAAAGAGATAATCAATAGAGTGAACAGATACCATATAGAATGGGAGAAAATACTCACAAACTATGCATCTGACAAAGAACTAATATCCAGGATTTATGAAGAACTCAAACAGCTCAACAAGAAAAAAAAAATAACCCCATTAAAAAGAAGGCAAATGACACAAACAGACATTTTGTGAAAGAAGACCCACAAATGGCCAAGAAGCATATAAAAAATGATCATCATCACTAATCATCAGAGAAATGCAAATCAAAACCACAACTGGATACCATCTCACACCAATCAGAATAGCTGTTATAAGAAGTCAAAAATAATAGATGCTGGCAAGGATGCAGAGAAAAGGAAATGCTTATACACTGCTGGTAGGAATGTAAATTAATATAACCTCTAAGGAGAATTGTAAGGAGATATCTCAAAGAACAAAAAATAGAACTACCTTTGATCCAGCAATCCTACCACTGGTTAGATATTTCCCAAAGGAAAATAAATCATTATATCAAAAAAGATACTTGCACTCATATACTTATTGCAGCACTATTCACAATAGCAAAGTCCTGTAATCAACCTTAGTGTCCACCAATGGATGATTAGATAAAGAATATGTGAATATGTGGGATATATACATTTTATTTATTATTATTATTTTTTTGAAACTGAGTCTCGCTCTGACACCCAGGCTGGAGTGCAGTGGTGTGATCTTGGCTCACCGCAACCTCCACCTCCTGGGTTCCAGTGATTCTCCTGCCTCAGCCTCCTGAGAAGCCAGCCACCATGCCCAGTTAATTTTTGTATTTTTAGTAGAGAAGGGGTTTCACCATGTTGGCCAGAATGGTCTCCATCTCCTGACCTCGTGGGTCCTCCCGCCTCAGTCTCCCAAAGTGGTGGGATTACAGGTGTGAGCCACTGCACCCGGCCTATTTTATTCGTTTTTATAGCTGAGTAGTATCCCATGGTACGTGTGTGTGTATACAGATATATATACATACATATAGTAGTATTCCATGATATGCACGTATCGCATACCCTGTGTGTATGTATACATATATATGTATATACTATATGTTTATAGCTGAGTGGACTATTACTCAGCTATGAAGTCTTGTTTGACAAATATAAAGCTGGAAATCAATTATATATTATATACAATTATAATGTATATAATTTATGTGTGTATACATATATACACACATAAATACACACACACACCACGGAATACTACTCAGCTATAAAAAAGAATAAAATTATATCTTTTGCAGCAACACAGATGAAACTGGAGGCCATTATTTTAAGTAAAATAACTCAGAAAGTCAAATACTGCATGTTCTTGCCTAAAAGCGAGAGCTAAATGTGTGTACATGGACATAGCGGAATAATAGACATTGGATACTTGGAAAGGTAGGAGGGTAGGAGTGGGGTGAGGGACAAAGAATTCTCTAATGGGTACAATGTATACATTTTGGGTGATGGTTACACTAAAAGCCCTGTCTTCAGCACTAGGCGATATATCTATGTAACACAACTGCACTTGTACCCCCAAACTGAGTTTTTTAAGTCACAGGGAACTTGCCTCAACACCCTATATCAACATCAACAACTGCCCTGTCTACCTCCCGACTGTTTGTGCCATAAGAAAATGGAGGCTCATCAATTTAAAGCATTGTAGCTAGGGTTTTATTTTCCCTAGCAGATAAAGCCAATACCTAAAATTATATGACTGGCTTTGCTTAAGATTAAAGTCTAGAAAAAGTTCCTGACCAGTACCACTGCCCCGAAGACAGGGATTGTTGGACATGTGCCAGAGATGGCATTACCCAGGCTCTTATGGAAGCAATTGTGCATGGAAATGAGAATCAATGTCCCATTAGAAACACCTGTGTTTAATTGACTATAAAAATATGCCTAAGGCTAATGGAATGTTATAAAGAATTATTTAAAGGACTGCTTCTCTTTTCAAATCTTTGTAAAGGATGTTTTGCAGATAGGGAACTATGAATACTAAGTCTTGTTTGACAAATATAAAGGCAAAATGAACTAGGAATATACCAACTATTGCCCTGTTTAAGTGTTATTTGTGGGCCTAGCACAGTAGCTCACGCCTGTAATCCCAGCAGTTTGGGAGAATGAGGCGGGCGGATCACCTGAGGTCAGGAGTTTGAGACCAGCTGGCCAACATGGTGAAACACCATCTCTACTAAAAATACAAAAATTAGCTGGGTGTGGTGGTACATGCCTGTAGTCCCATCTACTTGGGAGGCTGAGGCAGGAAAATCACTTCAACCTGGGAGGCAGAGGTTGCAGTAAGCCAAGATCGCGCCACTGCACTCCAGCCTGGGTGACCAAAAAAAAAAAAAAAAAAAAAAGTTATTTGTGAACAGAAAGAGATATTGGAGTCACCTGCTGTACTAATTGCTTTATAACTTTGGTCAATTTTACACTGCTTTTTGTGCCAAAGTTACTATTCTCATTCAAGGAAAAAATAGTTCACTTACTAATTATTTACTTGTTATCTATGAAGGATGAAGGACTTGGGGTTACTTATACATAGGTCAAGGTAGCTCACCCCTGTAATCCCAGCACTTTGGGAGGCCAAGGTGGGAGGATCACTTGAGGTTGGGAGTTCGAGACCAGCCTGGTCAACATGGTGAAACCCCATCTCTACTAAAAATACAAAAATTAGCTGGGCATGGTGGCACATGCCTGTAATCCCAGCTACTTAGGAGGCTGAGACAGGAGAATTGCTTGAACCCAGGAGGTGGAGGTTGCAGTGAGCCAAGATCGTGCCACTGTACTCCAGCCTGGGGGACAGTGAGACTCCATCTCAAAAAAAAAAAAAAAAAAAAAAAAAAAAAGAAAAGAAGGAAAGAGAAGAAAAGAAAAAGAAAAAGGAAAGTAGCCCACACATACCTGGGTAAAAATGAAATGAAATAAAATGTACAACCATTAAATTCCTTACAAATCTTTCTCCTTAAAATTATGCTAAAATATCATAACAAAATTTCCCATTTAAAGCATTTTTCAGTGTACAGGTCAGTAGTATTAAGTTCTGTGTATTCACATTGTTCTCCAACCATCACTATTATACATTCCCAGAACTTTTTAGTCTTCCTAATTCAGACTCTGTATCCATTAAACATTAACTCCCCATTCCCTTCTCCTTCTACCCTTGACATCCACCATCCTCTGTCTGTCTCTATAAATTTACTACTCTATGTACTTCACATAAGTAGAATCGTACATCTGTCCTATTGTGACTGGCTTACTTAGTACAACGTCTTCAAGATTCCTCCACGTATTATAGTAGCGTATGTCAGAATTTCCTTCCTTTTAAAGGCTAAATAATATGCCCTGTGTGTATATGTGCAGTGAGTATATGCATTCATCCATCAATTAATATTTGGGTTGTTCTCACCTTTTGGCTATCATGAATAATGCTGCTATATCTTTTTTTCAAGATAAAGTTTTATCAAGTCAAGTCGTGGTTTTGTAATAGAAAGAATGTTTGTCAGGGTCAGAAATTATGGAGGGGAAAGCTACATTTAGATTAAAAGCAAAGTTGGGAGTTTGATTTTGAATTTGAGATTTCATTTTAGATTTTGAGGTATAATTCTGGAGAGGATGGGGCAGAAAATGATTGAAAGTTTCCAGGAAGAAATATCTATCAAAGATAACATACTCTCTAAACGGAGACAGTACCCAAAAGTTGGTCTCTTAGTGTATCTAAAGTAATCTAGAACAACCCCAGTTCATTCATCTGTGTATACAATGATGTGATCTAAACATTAGGTTTAAAGGAGAGCACTGCAGCTGCCCCTACATGGAATAGTAAGTCAAAGATGTAAAAAGCATAAGGGAGGCTGGGCGCAATGGCTCATGCCTGTAATCCCAGCACTTTGGGAGGCTGAGACAGGTGGATCACAAGGTCAGGAGATCGAGACCATCCTGGTTACGGTGAAACCCAGTCTCTACTAAAAATACAAAAAATTAGCCCTGCATGGTGGCGGGCACCTGTAGTCCCAGTTACTCGGGAGGCTGAGGCAGGAGAATGGCGTGAACCTGGGACGCAGAGCTTGCAGTGAGCTGAGATGGTGCCACCGCACAGGTCTCCAAAAAAAAAAAAAAAAAAAAAGCATAAGGAGCATAAGGGATACTCAAGGGTCCTTCAACCAATAGTGTTTAGCGAAATAACTGAACACTGAAATGGTGGTTTGCATCATTTCAGTGTTCTCTGATCATAGCCACCTGCTCAACAATAGGAAGCATATTAAAGCAATAGCACTCTATTAACCTGTCTTTAAGGAAGCTCTTCTTTATGATTTGTCCCTCAAATTAGATTACTAAAATAATAACATAGCTATATACCCACTCAGTTTCTCTCTTTTCTCAGAAATCTAAGTTGTCTACTGATCAAAAATGCCCTAACAATAAAGATCCTCCTTAGCAATAATAAAAACACACATGTAAAACCTCTCAACCTATTTTACTAAATTCAAATAAACAACTTGAAGGCAATTAGATGGCCAGAAAAATGTAACACATATTTCATAATTCTGACAAATCAGAACTTTCTTACTCCCTCAGGCTGTGCTTATGTTTTTCATCTGGCTAAAGAGTGTTCCAGCTCTCCTTCCTCCAGGAGGTCCTGGATTGTCAAAGACAATCAACTGACAAGTAAATATTTCCTGAGCATCTACCATATTAGCAGACTAAATCACTGAAGTCACAGATGTCCTAAGGTGCTTCTATTTCTGTGATTTTTTTAGTGGTGCCTAAACTAGGAGGGTGCTCCTGGTGAAGCAGGAGTAGATGTGCAGATAGAGACTGATAGACCTTACCCATCAGTCTCCTTAGGCTGTGGAATTATAGGTACCTTTGCGGCTGCGTGAGGTGAGGCTCCTTGGTCCAAAAGCAGAAGGGCCACTTTCTGATTATCGTAATGTGCAGCTACATGCAGTGGGGTTAGCCCGCTCTGAAAACACGTGCAGAAACAACAACCAGTGTCAAAGGTGTCTTAATACCAGAGGCCTAGATTGAGGAAATGAGATTAGATTGGATACAACATAGGGCATATTTACATTCCGGTTTCCACAGTACTTGGACCTCAGCATTTACCTTTTATTTCCCAAGTGCTCTTCATCCTAGTGGGACTTAAATATTTAGTTACAACTCGGGTGGCCATTAGTGAATATTAGCAAGTGTGTGTTTTGTTATCGGGGAAGTGGCCTGCTTCAGGGTTGCTGGTGACCTCTTACCTTCCCAGCAGCATCTGGAGATGCACTTTTCTGTAGCAGGAGATTGGCGACTTCAAGCTTTCCATACTTTGCTGCCACGTGGAGAGGGGTAAATCCTTTCTGGAAAAAAAGAAACATAAACATAATGAACAATAGAAATGACATAAGGAAAACACATGCAAAACCCAAACCAAACAACAAACAAAAAGATATGACATAAGGGCACTGCCTTCCAGAACTGATTAATTATTCTAGTGATGATGAGCAATGAAGTCTGCATTTAAAGTCCAAGACTCATAGATAAGAGTTCAAGAGCCTTCTTATCGACAGGGTGTGAGCACAACATACCAGGATACCTAATCTTTCTCCCTTCTGCTGACTGAACCACAACATGCTATTGGTTCTGGGAGTCATCAGGTATCTCACCAGGATGAAGTTGGAAAGCTGGATCTGGGGCTTATTCTAGGACTGCTTTTAGAGTTTCATATTGTGGGAAGAATAAGTTACAGGGTCCCAGACTCAGCTTGCATGGTTTGGGAAAATCCAGGGGAAGTCTGAACCTCTCACAATCTCACATCACCAGACTGGACACTTTCTCTTCTTCTTTCCCTGTTTCTCCATGTATACACAGTCCTTATGTGTCCTCTAGTCTTCAGGAGGAGTCAGAAATTCTCTTACCTTTAACACCAGAGGTGAACTTAATGACATGGTTTTAGAATGATGAGACGCCTATTCTGTAGGTGAACTGAATAATCACACATGGACAAACATGCAACAATTGGATGTTAATAGCTGAGTGGCTGCTCCCTCAGGCTTCCAACTCCTACAAGAATCTGTGTATCAACCAGCCAATCAGCACACTGTTGTGGGGGTCCCAATCATGAGTCAGGGATTAGGGGGTCATCAGCACATTTGACCTCATGAGACTACAGCAAACTAAAAGGAATGTGCAGCTGGTATGGTGAAATGCCTGAATACTCAAGACTCCATCACCCATTGCTCCGTTTCACATCAAATGAGCTTCCTGAACTTGCATCTCAACTCTACTGAAGAGCCCAAAGAATCACAAGAAATGAAATTTGAGGTAGTCATCATTTATCCTGATAGTTCTCTATTTGTAATTATCTTCTATATTGATTACACATTAATCTTTCTTATCTGCATCCAAATAAAAGAGTGCAGTACCAGTTACTAGCTTTGGAAGGTGCGCCACAAGCCAATTCATCTTGCTATCACATTTGCTAGGCTTATGTAGTATCATAAGAAAAATGAGCTCCAAATTTTGCATTCTGCACATGCAGAGCAACTGTTTATGTTAGGGTATTACTCTAAGGCATCAGAGTTGAGATAAAAATACATCAAACCATAAATCGTGACAACAGACAATAATGACAACAGAAAGAACAAAAACAAACAAAAACAACCCCAAGAAAAATTTACTGCCAGTTTTCCAAGTGTTATAAAAGCATCTACCAACCAAGCTGTGATAGTGTGGTTTGTGTGCTTGGCCTGAGCATTTTGCTAAGCTGTAGCTCTGTTTTTAAACTAAAATTTAAGGCCATCAAATAATTTACAAGAAGTCTGACTCTGGATATCATTAAGGTTTCATTGGAAGATAATGTACTAAGAAACTTAAGGCAAAAAAACCCCCACAAAATACTATCAGTTACCCTCTCCCACCACAGAGCTTTGCTGGCCATATTAATGACTACCGTGGGATCGCAAGAATAGATGCTGTTGTGCGGCTTCTGGACCTGTGACTGTGCTGGGAACTGTAAGGAAGATGTATTTGGGGCAACAGAGCAGGATTCTGAGATACGCTTTCATACCTTTGTTGTTATAGATAAAGATGCTCCATGATCCAAAAGGAATGCGGCCACATCCTCATGCCCCTCTCGGGCGGAAAGGTGAAGTGGGGTGTACCCAGAAGTTGTGGCTGCATTTGGAGATGCTCCTTGCTGCAATAACTGTTGTACTATGTCTGCTTTCCCCAGTCGGGCTGAAATGTGGAGTGGGGTTTGGTCATCCTAAACGGCAAGGTAGAAATGTAAGGCTGATGAGCTGAGGAAACAATGGTGCCTTTATGAAAAATTCACGGAACATTAGATGCTTGATGTAAGAGGTACAATCAACTTTTTGAGTCAATGCTAAAAAAAATCTTATTTGTCTTTTTCTTCAATGTTCAGAAATGAGGAGATGGTAGGTCTAAGCTCATTAAATACCTCTGGAGAGTGAACCATAAATAAGAAAACCGTGAAAGGCAGTTCTGTCTATAAATGACCCCCCAACAACACCTGCCACAGAGAATCAAATTTGAACTTTAATTGCTCCTTCTTCGGGAGATAAGACAATGTATCCTAGTAAAACTCATATACCTGGGAGGGATATTATACCTCCACACCAGTTATTATCCACTCACATGGAATGAATTATTTTGTTGGTTCTGTCTTCCCATAGACAAACGCAGAGTGTGAGGAAGGCAGTGTAGGGTTGCGCAGTATACCTGTGCAAAGGCTCCCAGCCGAAGGGTCAGCAGGGGCTGATGCCCTCTGCTTGTCAAGCTGTGTATCCTGGTATGGGCTGCATCTGTCTAGACTGGAGAACCACCTCACTACAATTCACCCAAAGGCAGGAGGTACTCACCAAGTCCTGATCCCCTAGGATCTTATCCCCAAGTGGGAGGCGCAAATCATCTTAATTTGCTCAAAGATCCCTGTGGTAGTCCTCGAAATAGAAATTCTCTACTGAATTGTGATAAGGTTGAGGTAAACGGTTTAAGTAGGAAAAGTAGAGAAAATAGGCTAGAATAGAGGACACCATTTTGGAAGAATAAGGAGGACGAGGGTCAATGTCAAAGTAAGAGGGGCTATCTAACCAGTAGGAAGCATGAGAGGAGTTAGGGAGATGCCGCAAGAGAGAAGAGGAATATTGAAAGCAGAAAAAAATAGGTGCCAAGGAAAAATCTCATATACTGCTACTACTGCCACCCCTTAACTTGAAACTAGAGACTGCAGACTGTGCAAATGTATATTTACATATTGTAGGTTGAAATTAAATGGTTTATGATTCTGGACCTGAACTGCCATTCTGATAACCAGACCAAAGTATCCATCCCTATAGCAGCAGATAAGTGGGTTTCTCCTGCAGGTGAAATACGAGGCCAATTCTGAAGTGGCCAAACAGCTTGTATAGAAAAAAAAAAAAAAAAAAAATCCCTCATTTTCCTTTTGTGGCTGTTGACAGCTGACTTACAAGTCAACCAAAAAGGCTCAGTTATTCTTCCAGATTGTGATTGTTCTAGAAGCTTTGTGCATAAGCCCTTCTCCACGGAGTGTGAAGAACTTTGGACCAAGTCTAGATTCAGTCCCCAACCTGTTAGGGACTAGCCATGTGCTGACAGTTTCAGGCACAAGTTCTCATCTCATCCTATTTCATTTTGTTAAATAATTGAACGAACAAATGTGGAGGGAAGGGATTTTTCACAGTGTTACTTGGGTAGGGACTTTCCTTATGGGAGGTTGTTCACTATTTTTAAAGTATTCTTGAAAGACAGCATAAATATACTTAAAAGTTTTATGAAAATCAAAGGGTTTTTCCTCAATTTCAAACACTTTTCAAGTATTGCGCATACCTTAGCTTTAGCTTCTACCTGAGCTCCGTCTTGTACCAGATACCGCACAACTTCAGCTTGGCCGGAGCGAGCTGCCATGTGCAGCGCTGTTTCTCCTCTCTAGGGAACATGAGCCAAAGTAAATTAGCTGCAGCTCTGAAGAAGAGTGGTGTATTTTATTTGGCATAAAGCTTATGATGGACTTTTTTCAAAAATAAAAAATAGTCCTAAGCACTTCCTTATTGAAAAGATAGGAAGTCAAATGCATAAGAATTTCACAGGAACCTGGTCCATGAGGCAAAGACTTTGACATAAGCCTAGGGGGTCTTGTCACCTACTGTGCCAGGGGCGCTGCTCAGTAACCTACAATGTGGCCTCCCTTGGGGCTGGAAAGGCAAGTGCTCATAGGAGCTAAGCAGGCGGGTAAGTGAGTGCAGCTGGGCAGATGTGGAGTGCTTGAGAGAGCCCACACCTGCGCCGAAGCAGGCAGCCACCCCCCCCACACACACCCCCAACATCTTCAGCTCGCTGCTGTCACTATGCAGGATGCCAGCCTTACCATGCCACACCATGCAAGTTTTCAAAAGAAGTGGCAGTCTGGATTTTATATAAATTTTCCTATTCTTAAATATTGACCATAAATTCAGAATTAAAAACAAAACACTACATGGGCAACATAAACATAGTCAAGGGCCGGATTTGGCTTCTCAACAGTTGGTTTGCATTTCCTGTTTGATCTGAACAGATCAATATCTTAGTCTTTGGACATTTTTCCCAGTGGATCATTTTCTTTGCCCTGGACCACCCTCCAGCTATTTTTTCACCAAGTAGATTCTAATTCAGATTACTTCTTTACTTGATTAAAAATGAAAATGATATTAGAAACAAATACACTGAAATGGACAAAAATAAAAATGAAGGCCGGGCGCGGTGGCTCAAGTCTGTAATCCCAGCACTTTGGGAGGCCGAGACGGGCGGATCACGAGGTCAGGAGATCGAGACCATCCTGGCTAACACAGTGAAACCCCGTCTCTACTAAAAAATACAAAAAACTAGCCGGGCGAGGTGGTGGGCGCCTGTAGTCCCAGCTACTCGGGAGGCTGAGGCAGGAGAATGGCGTAAACCCGGGAGGCGGAGCTTGCAGTGAGCTGAGATCCGGCCACTGCACTCCAGCCTGGGCAACAGAGTAAGACTCCGTCTCAAAAAAAAAAATAAAAAAAAAATAAAAAAAATAAAAAAATAAAAAATAAATAAATAAAAATGAAATATATTCTCTCACATAGGTGATGCTCACTTTTAAACTGCCTTTATAAATTGAGCTTTGCTTTATAGGCCACCTACTTCCATGGAAGGACACGTGAGGACAGATTCCACAGGAAACTGGTGGATTGTGTTTATTGGAAAGGTGTTGAGGATGTCGTTTAGTGTATTACTCAGTGTTCCCTCTACGAATGAAAACATTCTCTGCAATTAGTACCAGGAAAGACTGCATTTCATCTGAGAAGCTGGTCTATTTCTATGTTGTGGTTGTGCTGCTTGGGGCTGCTGGAAGATGCAGTCTTACTGGGGAGCCCCACTCTCAGGGTAAGGGTGCAGGACCTCATAGCTTGCCCCTTCTGTGCCAGGATGGTGCTTGTTTAATTGTTACTTCTTTAATGCTCATGAGTCCAATGAGTGTTATTATGTTTATGGTCTGTTGTGCTAATACTATGATGTCAAATTTGAAACCCTGTAAAACAATGCCACATGCAGATCACGGGTGGTAAGTTACCACTCTGATAGCTACTCTGAAGTGAGCCTCGTGGTTCCTACAGAGCAATGTTTGGTGTGAGAAAATAATACCATTGAGTAATCTATGGACACAGAATTCCATGGGTTTGCTATAACATGGTGAAGCACATTAAAAAGAGACTACCTTGAAGTTAGTTGAAATCACTTCTTTTTTTTTTTTTTTGAGATGGAGTCTCACTCTGTTGCCCAGGCTAGAGTGTAATGGCATGATCTTGGCTTACTGCAACCTCTGCCTCCCAAGTTCAAGTTATTCTCATGCCTCAGCCTCCTGAGTAGCTGGAATTACATGCATGCACCACCACAACCAGCTAATTCTTTTTTTTTATTTTTAGTAGAGATCGGTTTCACCATGTTGGCCAGGCTGGTCTTGAACTCCTGACCTTAAGTGATCCACCCATCTCAGCCTCCCAAAGTGCTGGGATTACAGGCATGAGCCACCACACCCTGCTGAAATCACTTCTTTGTATAAATAACCATAGTGTCTAAATGACCTCTCCAACATGTGGCACTTTTTAATGTTTTTGTTGTAGAAAAATATTCCCCACACTTTATTTTTTATTTATTTTTATTTTTTTTGAGACGGAGTTACATTCTTATCGCCCAGGCTGGAGTGCAATGGCGCAGTCTCGGCTCACCACAACCTCTGCCTCCCGGGTTCAAGCAATTCTCCTGTCTCAGCCTCCCGGGTTGCTAGGATTACAGGCATGTGCCACCACACCTAGCTAATTTTGTATTTTTTAGTAGAGACGGGGGTTTCTCCATGTTGATCGGGCTGGTCTCAAACTTCTGACCTCATGTGACCCACCTGCCTCGGCCTCCCAAAGCGCTGGGATTACAAGCGTGAGCCACCGTGCCTGGCCATACTTTATTTTTTACAATATAATATCCAGTAGTAACGCACCTGTAAGTTTAATGAACATAGTTCATAAGTCCTAACAATTTGTGGCCAACTAGAGACTGAGCAGATCTTGCCTTTGAAGTAAAGGAAACAAACGTATTCTTGAATTTTCTTCTTTTCAGTAGTCATATTAATTACATATTAATTAATTATAATAACAATAAGGTAGGGCATTGTGGCTCATGCCTATAAGCCCAACAATTTAGGAGGCCAACTCAGGAGGATTGCTTGAAGCCAGGAGTTCAAGACCAGCCTGGGCAACATAGTGAGGCCCCCATCTCTACAAAACATTTAAAAATGAGCCGGGCATGATGGCACATTCCTGTAGTCTCAGTGAGTTGGGAGGCTGAGGTGGGAGGAGCACCTGAGTCCAGGATTCTAGGCTGCAGTGAGCTATGATTGCACCACTGCATTCCAGTCTGGGAGACAGAGTGATACTCCAACTCTTAAAAAAATAAAAAAACAAAAAAGTAGATAAAAATCACCTTTGCCAGTTTATTAAATACTCACAACGGACCTCCTTCATTCAAAGAATACTTACCACATTGGTGGTGTTTGGTGAGGCTCCATGATGCATTAGTTGTGATACAATATTTACATGCCCCATGAAGGCAGCAACATGGATTGGGGTAAGGCCCGACTAAGGGGAAAAGAAGAAAATGGTGGTTTGTTGGCTTAGCATAAAAAAGGTTTGTCAGTGAGCCTGCCTGCCTGCCTGCCATGCATCCATCCATCTAAACCAGTTTAATGATCAGATTAGAAGAATCAGGACATTCACCATTATGTTACAGATTCTACAATGGTAAATATATCAACACATAATCATCATTTTCTTAAAGCAAATTCTGTTACTATGAAAGACTTATGTCATACCTATTAAAAAAGAAAAAGAATTTATTTCATACTTTTAATGTAGATCTTTGAAAAAGCTGATAAATAACTTGAAGGTTGTTTTTCCCCTTTACTAATAAACCTTCCTTATCCATATGTGTGTGTGTAGAGGGAGGACAGCGGTGATTTCATATATATTAGTAAAACGTCAACTTTTATTTCAGATCCTATTCTGGGCTTTAAAGAGGATTCCCATTTATGTCACATATAAAAGAGCAGGGTACCTAACACGAAGCTGTTTCTTTAATAAATGAACAAATCAGCATTAATGGTTTCAAACATTTAATTTTTTAACTTTATGGGTGTTACAAATTAAGGCATTAAAAATAAAGCAAATATTACAATGTTCACTAGACTAGACTTGAATTGCTTCAGATCCTATGCACACGTACATACACATACATGTACGTAGACCCCAGAATACTATTCAGCATAAAGCAGAATTTATTGATTCCAGGATATTTTATATTGAATATGCCCATGATTGTGAGATTTAAATAGAGTGAATAAGAAAGATAAAAATCTCAAGCCATTAATTTTTTAAAGAGTATAATTTACTTATGCTTTTTATATGAAATGATTCCATTTTAAATTTTTCAGACTTTAATTTAGCTTACAACATGAACATCATAACTTGATAAAACTTTTTTTTTAGTATATCTAGAAAAAGCTAACCTGTTTTTTAAAAAGGGACAGAAGGGGATAATTAATCTCAGCACAAATTTGAGAAATGCCAAAAATATATGAAAGGAATTCTATACAATCAAAGTGAGGTAAAAGACAGAAAAGGAATAATTCTGGCTGCCCAGACTTCAAAAAGTGAGAAGAATGGAGGACAATTAGGAAAATGAGAATTTTGTTATAGTCTTGGCACCTTTTTCCATCGGCAGGGGGAATAGTTAGAGCTCGTGCAAGGCAAAATCTTGGTCTAAACTGCCCTTTAAAGCTCTTAGGGAACAGAGAGCTGGATTACTGGTTGACACCTCTGGACATTTACTCAAACATCAGCCAAGAATTTACTTTTATTTTAGAGCCTGTTCTGATCTCTAAGAGGGTTCCTATGCACTGAAAGTAAACTTTCTATTTTATACTTAAAAATAACAGGTTGCCTAATATGAAGCCATAAGCCTGACAATATGGCAAATCAGTATTCATATTCTCAACCATTTCATATTTTAAAAATTCTAAGTGTAAATCTAGGCAAATATTCCATTTGCAGGCAAGAAACTGAAGCCAAGCAACAATCACTAGACTAGATTTTAATTTTTATGTTTGCTTCAAATCCTATAGTTAAACATCAGGTATTCAACAAAACTTTACTGAATGATCTGCTATGTATGGGCCAGACACTGTGGGTATATGAAGACCAGTCAGACACAGCCCTACCTCCAAGGAGCCTTCAGCCTCTGGGCGTCTTGGGGGCACCACTGAGTCATAAGTCAGAGAGTTGGATAAGGGCACAGGATGAGGTGATGGTTCCTAGAAGGGACATGTAGTCCAGGCTGGGGAGTGAGGGGAGGTTTCCTGAAGAAGGTGGCCCAGATCTGGTTCTAAAGGATGTGCAGGATTTGCCTGGCCAAGGGGGTGTGACACACAGAGGTATAGACATACAGAGGCAAACAAGAGAGTGTCTAGTCTATGGAAGTGCCAAGGGTTAGAATTAGAATTAACAGAGATCAGGGTGCTAGGAGGTAGTGAGGTGGAGGTTGGGGGTCTGGGACAAGTCTGAAAGGGTAGGTGTCAGGCTTGGTTTGCTTTGTAGAAGGTGCAGCCCTGATTCTGATGGATCATTTATCTGAGTTCTGAGTTGGTTACTATGAGAGAAACTTAGATCTAATCCTTTACTAACCTCAGCAGCAGTTTCATTAATTTTGAGTTTTGAGACAGAGTAATCCTTACTTGACAAAAGCACCAAGGTCGTCTTGCGCAGGGTTTTGACATTTTGAATCAGATGATTTTTTGTTGCGGGAGACTGTCCTGTATACTGTAAACTGTTTAGTAGCATCCTTGGCCTTGACCCACTAGATACCAGTAGTACTATCCAGTTGTGACAACTAAAAGTACCTCCAGACATGACTAAATGCCCCTTGGGGGACAAAACTGCACCCATTAGAGAAGTACTACAGTTTAGGATTTGATACAAATTATGCTTTCTGTGATGGGGCCGTTCCCCTTAAGCATACGTTTTAGGTTACATTTCTTGACATAGTGATACATTTGCATCCAACTCACCCACCAACAGGCTTGTCTGCTTCTCCTAAGGACTGGCAGCCCTTTTGCTGAATAGTTCAGAATGCAGTCTATGGCCATGATATACCAACAAACTAGCTGGTCCCTGGAGATGGCCCTGGGGCTCTGGCTTCTAAGGCTATACTCTCGGTATCTCAGGACTCCCAGAAATCTTAACTCTTCTCACCTCGGTTACAGCTTGGATGGATGCACCGTGTTTCAGAAGGAGTTCCATTACTTTAATTCGATTCTTCTTGCAGGCAATATGAAGAGGGGTAAAGCCATTCTGCAAGGGACAAATACATATACCTGCTTGACTACATTCCATCAAAACCCAGTTTCACTATGTACAGTAAAATAGTCTTGCTAAAATGATGTGCGGTAAATTGAAATGAACAGAAAGTACCAGGGTTAAGCAGCACGTAGATTCTATTCTGGAAGTAGTCTAGCTGCCCTAGGAATCCAAGGTGCCCTGGTAATTGTGAACAAAAGGTGAATTTTTGTTACAGTCTCCTTGTTAGCTGAGGTAAAAATGATCATTCATTTCGTTGTTTTATTTCGGAATTCGCTCTTCCAAATAATATGTTCCCGGCTGGGTGTGGTGACTTACAAGTGTAATCCCAGCACTTTGGGAGGCCGAGTTGGGTGGATCACCTGAGGTCAGGAGTTCGAGACCAGCCTGACCAACATGGTAAAATCCCATCTCTACTAAAAATACAAAAATTAGCCGGGCATAGTGGCAAAGCACCTGTAATCCCAGCTACTTGGGAGGCTGAGGCAGGAGAATCGTTTGAACCCAGGAGGCAGAGGTTGCAGTGAGCCGAGATTGTGCAATTGCACTCCAGCCTGGGCAACAAGAGGGAAATTCTGTTTCAAAATAACAAATAATAATAATAACAATAATAATATGTCCCTCCTCTACCTCATTTCAAATACGGACTGAAAACTCCTGGCCCCAACATTTGTCCTCACGGCTCTACTTCACCAAGGTTTATTCTGTTCTCTTTGCTGTGTTTTAGGACAACTACAAGGCCAGCTCTAAAATGTTTTGATTTCTTCTCTAGCTTTATTGCTTCAAGTAGGTGTTTACCCCAAGGATGCAGAAATGTAAATAACCCATTATCTGAATAATTTGGTTTACTATTTAATCTAATAAAAGAATCTGCTTTTTAATAAATTATGTCCCAAGTTGTCCTGCCTGCCAGTTGAGACTGTGGCATGTATTTCAGCAGCCAGTGGAGAACTATAAATACCAGAGTCCACCGTAAAAGCTTAGGTCAAAGTCACTGCAGGTGTTTTCACTAAGACTTCTCAGACCATTTGGCCACAGTCCATCCCAGGATGACTGGCTATAACCTCCATATGTTGTGAAATCTTCAGAGTCACAGGAAAATGAGAGTGGGAACCCACGCCCTGTTTTGGGACTTATTTTTTTTTTCTTGTATGGAAAAATGAGTCATGACTGTTAATTTCCTTTCTCCCTTCTCAGAATTCAGACACGTTTGATAGACTGGGTGGGTCAACAGACAGATCTTGAAATGCTGCTTTGGTAAAAGGTTTTGGAAATTATAGTGGCAAGGAGGTGTCTGGGGTCTGGAGAGTTTCTCTTTCGTCATTCTTTCCTGCCCACTCTGAATTTTAGAGCCCACAGAGTACAAGAGGTGGTAGAGATCTATCCAGACAGGATGACCACACTCTTTGGAAAGGGGTAAAAACCCTTCCTTAAAGGGTCGATTGGATGATGACAAACTTTACCTCAAAATTGCTAGTAAACTCACATGCTTTCCCTAAAATTGGGTGACTTATTTTTTCCTAAACATGGGTACTTATTCTGAAATAGACAGCTTACTAAGTTGGGACCATTTATTTTTGCAAAGACAACAAACACCATTTTGCTGAGAAAACCAAAGTATAGCATGGCTAAAGGTTAAAAGAACAAATTACTTTAAAGTGAAGCCTATAAACCAGACCAAAATTCTGATTGGCAAAAGGAAACAGAAGATTACAGGCAATATTTCATTAACTTACAAGGTTAAGATAATATAAAATTTTAGCTCACAAATTCCAAGACCGCTTATGTTTAAAACAGATATTTTTGATAACTTTGCCTCGTTTTCAGATCTCCGAATAAACTTTTAATTCACAGAATTATAAGTTTATCCACAATAAGATGACGTTGGCCACCTTAGTCTTTTTATAATTGTGTAGTCTTTGGGTTCATAAAGGTCACTTACGTGACCATAAAAACATTAACAGTTTGGCTCCATCAGCCTTTCTCATGTCGGAAATAGAAAATTTTGTAGACTTTCCTGAAGGATATTTGAAAAAATTGACAAGAAGTACACTTTAACTAGCACCTTCCATTTTAACCTCCTCAAAGCATTCCCTTCACATACAGAGGCAGCAGGTTGTAAGCAAGACAACTGAGGCTGGACTCGCTGGTTGAGTCACTCACCAGGGCTTTGGCATTGGGGTTAGCTTTCTTATCCAAGAGAACCTTGGCGACTTTGTAATGGCCACAGTGGGCAGCCACGTGTAGGGCAGTCAGGTAGTCATTGGTGACATCGTCCACGGGCACATTATGCTGGAGGAGAAGCTGGACGCAGTTTAAGTGGTCCCCTTGTGTGGCCATGTGCAATGGAGACAATCCATTCTGGAACACATAAGGAAATCAGAGTTCATTTTTTTTACCTTTTAAACACAAATGTGCAGAACACAAATAAAGTGCAAATATAAACAGATAAAAACTCCAGTTCTTCACATGAAAATACCTTCTATTTGTAAAAGCTTTTGACAACTATTTTGAACTACAGCTATTTTTAAAATTGGCCCTCCCAACTGCTTATGTCAGTCAATAACAAGTTGTCAAGGAAATGTCTTTTCCTAATTTAATAGAAGTGTGAATTGCAGCATGGGTCATAACCCAGATGAATGGAAATTTTACTTTTCTTTTTATTTTAAATAGAGATATGGTTTCACTCTGTTGCTCAGCTGGTCTCAAACTCCAGCCTGAAGTGATCCTCCTGCCTCAGCTTCCCAAAGCACTGGGATTATAGGTATGAGCCACTGGAACTTGGCCGAATAGGAATTCTTAATATTTAAGACTAAAAGAAAATTAAAGGTAAGAACAGATTGGTATTCATTAGACTGGTATTAATTTTGTCCTTAGAGATTACTGATACCCAATATTGAAGACTACATTGATTTGACTTTAAAAATGGTCCCAATGTAATGCATTTCATCTCACATCAAAGAAAGGGAAAGGTTTCCCTTTTCTATCAATCTGGTGCCCCCATGTGTCTATGATGAGGAAAGGCAGGGCATTGACAAAGCCAATAACTAATGCTCACCTTGTTAGTTTAAATCCACTGGGTTCAATAACTCAGTTAATCATGTGCAGTAGGAATGAGTTGAAAATTCATTTAAAGAGCAGAGAGAACAAATATATGTGGTCAAAGGTAAATAAAACCTAGAGTGACACCAGCATTCAATATGTTTCCTAATGAAGGCAAAACAAGGTATGAAGATGTCAATCCTTTCTTTTAACTATGATGGCAAAGTGGGGGAACCTGGGAAATTCCTAGAGAATTCAATTATCAAAAGAGGCTGTATCAATTATTGTAACATAGTTTAACATGTTTTTGGGAAAAGTAAGTTGACAGCAAATTCAGTTTCTAAAAAAATTGTCGTCAATGAATTTTGACAATGACAGATCAAATATGCACCAAGGAACCAGAGGTTTCTGAATCCTCTGAGCCAAATTATTTGCTCCGAATTTATCAATGAATGACATAAAGAAGGAATTCAGGATAAGAAAAAGTAATATGAGCTCCTCGTTAACCATTCCAGTGGCATTATTCACTCTCTGACATATATTTCAACGATTTGGGTTCCTTGAAGGCAAGAGGTACATGGTTATTATTTTTTCCATCGCACAGAAGAGAGCTTTGCACATACAGAAAGAATTCGGCAAATTCTAGGTCAATTTAAAGGCCTCGTACACTGTCAGTCTATCAGGATATTTCTGCCTAAAAAATTTCCCTCAAATATTTTAAACCATAGAAATGAAGGTGCAGAAAAAGGTAGGAACATTTCCCATTTGAGATACTGCTACCCACGAGCATATGGACTGCTTTATTCCTGCCAAAACATTCTTTTGCTTTATGTTTTGATACAGTCTTAGAGGAAAACATGAAGTAAACAAGCAAACAAACAAAAAACCCCCACAAAATCTGAGAGAACAAAGAATAGTGGAGAGTAGAAATGGAAGGCAGTGTCAATAAAAAAAAAAATTCTCTAGCAATGCAAAGACACAATGATTGTGTGGATGGGAAACTTAAAGATAATTGGAGAAGGACAAGAAAACAGTAAAGAAAAGACCATCTGCCCTATGGAAAGAGGTGGTATTACATATGGTGCCTGAAAATACTGATCCAATGTAATGGGCTTTCTTAGCTCCGTAAGACGAAATTCTTGAAGAACCGGTCAGATGGCCTTAAGCCTAGGAATGTACTCATTCACTTAATAGTCATTCAACAAATATTTACTGAAGCCCTACTGTGTTCTGGGCACAAATACAGGTGCTTGTGGGTATTGCACTGAACAAGGAAAAGTTCTTGCTTTCATTCTATTGAAGAGAACCAGACAGCAAGCAAGTAAACAAGCATATAATTTCAAGATGGTGTTAAAAGCTCTAAAGAAAATAAAATATGGCCAGATGGCACTGGCAGGGGGTGGTGAAGATGGGAGGGGTAAATCATGAGAAAACGCCTGTTTATGAGGAAGACATTTGCGTTGAAGAATGTACGGGGACCGCAGAGATCTGGAACAAGCTGAGGGAACTCAAACCAAGCAAACAGAAAATGAGAACAAAGGTGTAGTCTAGGAAGCAAAATAAGGCTGGTTAGCTGGAAGATGGTGAGGAAGGAGCAAAATGGGAGGAGATGAGGAAGAGAGGTGGTCAGAATATCTTAAGAAGTCTATCCTCAGTGCAGAGGGAGATTTCTGATCAAACACGGCAGATGTGATAGCTATATTTATCCTTCCTCTCCCAAAACTCCACCAAAAAGCAATAATAGATTTAAAGGGTGAAATCCAGAAGGGCACACATGTGCGTGTCCTTTTCCATTCCCACATATACAATGGGGAAGAAATCAAAAACAGATGAGGGTTGTCTCCAAACTTCAGAATATGAAAAGAGGATTTGAGTGTGGTCATTCATCCAGTCGAAGAGAGAGGCTGAAACCTAAATGTCTGAAGCAGTAGAATCAGTGCTGTGCTGACAAATGTTTAACATCCAACTCCTGGAAAAAGAAAAGCCCCAGTGTGTAGCACTAGCCAATTTCCATGCTGTCAATCCCCCCACAACAACCAATTTCAAGCCGTCCATCTGATGTTACTGAATGAGGAATTGGGAAGAGATGTACACAACCAGCTCATGAGCCAATACAATCAGGCTCCAGCACACTGCTGGGAATAAAAAGACAAGCTGATTTGCCTTTCAAATCCTCAAAAGGTGGAGGCTATGGAAGCGTAGTACCTCAGAAGATAAGATGAGACTTGGGGCTGCAAGTAAAATCGGATCAAAGACTGTGTATGGAGCTGTCAGGTCTCCAGGCCCTTCCCAACTCAGCAAAGTCAGATAACTGCCTCCTTCTAGCCTGAAGGACACCAGAATTAGTGTCTGGAGAAGGTGAACTAGAGAGATTCAGACTCAAGGGCCCAGGCAGAACAGAGGGCAGTGATGAGGATTTGGACTGAGAATAGGTGATCACAGAAAAAGGAAGGAGAATGCAGGCGTTAAAGTTAGGCTGCTTGGGTTCAAATCCTTGTTCTGCCACTAACCGAGATATTTTGAGAAAGCTACTTTATCTCTTTGGGTTTCAGTTTCCTCATCTATTAAAAGGGAATAACAGTAATACCAGTATCTCACTTAATGAGGATTAAATGAGTTAATACGTGTAAAGAACATAGAGCCTGACAAGCAGTAATCACTATGTAAATATTAGTTATCAATATTATGATTAAAGTATGCATAAAGCACAAGACTGGCAGCCTCTTTCCCCTACTCAGAAGGTATTCACACAGGTGTGCACTGCAAAGGTTGGTGGATTTGTCTCTCAAAAAACTGTACCACCTACGGTAAAGGGAACATAATCCTGACATTAAAGAGCCCCTCTTAATCACTGCCACCTGATCAGCACTGCCTAAACTCTTTAGAGCTGCCACTCACATGTTTGTGCCTGACACAGTCAGGTACAGCCATTGTGGGAAGCCTTCAATATAAAAGATAGAGCCAAAGCAAAAAAAAAAAAAAAAAAAAAAAGAGGAAAAAAAGGAAATCTGAGGAATTAGAGACATTCGGGAAACAGAAAAACTAAATTGCAAGAAAGTTATCTCAAATGTTCTCAGAAAAGTAACAGAAAATATTGTACCCATTAAACAAGAACAGGATACTTTAAGAAAAGAAGCTATCAGATAACAAGAAAATGTTCTTGAAAATTAAAAGGTTGGAAGAAAAAAATCAAGATTTCTCAGAAAAAATCCAAAGCAATGAGATGAATAGGAGAAAAAAGATGAGCAACTCTCTGATTTTTAACATTCTTCCTTATTGCTTTGAGAAAATGAAAATCAATTTGAAAGAGAACAATGGGGATTAGTGGGAGGGTTTTTAAGCAGGAGGCTGACATGATTTGGATGACAGTTTGTATGGCGACTTTGACTGCAAAGTGGGAACTGATTTGTGAAGAAGCAAAAAGGTAAATGGGGGACCAACAGGAAGCTACTACAGTGGTTCAGTGAGAAATGATAATGTGGCTTAGAAGACAGCAGTGGAGGAGGAAAGAAAATAGATACGGGATATGTAAAAGGAAAAGAACAAATAGAATCGTCAAGATAAGAAACACTCAAAAGGCCAAGATGTCATCATATACAATGAAAACATCATGGACGTTTAATTCCATTAGACAACACCCTCAACAGCTCACCAGTCTAAACCCTACATTTTAAATGAGTGATGGAATTGTCCAGACCATCTCAACCCTGTCTAGTCTTCCTAATATTGTTGAGGAAACACTGACCAGAGTGAAAATAGAAATAATATGTGCTTTTGTTGCTTTGATAATGTTTAGAGATTAAAGCTCTTAGTAAAGCTTAGTATCTTTTCCAAAAAAATCACTGGTTTAATAAATAAAAATAGCAGTGACAATGAGGTGGTTTATATGTCTCAAAATTTATTTGCAAATATTCTTTTCTTCAAATGATGTCAAATGGTTTTACTATTAAAAAAAGTCTAAAAGAGTGTCAATCATTATTTTTTTTCAGGCAATCATCATGTGTTCCTTTCAGATATATCAACATTCCCAAAAGCCCAATCAAGGTGCAATATTTCCAAAGTTTCCAGTGTTCATCAGCTAAGCGATATCCTCGACCTTCTTAATAGCCTGTGAACTCTCAAGAAATAAGCTGAGGGGCTAAACACAGCCAGCATCCATACTTTAGAGAGTGTAGAAATTTTAGTCTTTCTTAACCTGACAAGCAATTATTTCTGAGCTATGAAAATTTCACAGAGTAAAATCAAGCAGTAAGCATTCCTGAAACAAAACAGAAACCACACACACACAAATGACTTTGTGGTGTAGCACATTCTACATAAAATTTTAATAAGCTCCAACTTATTTTGAGATTCTGTAAAGATTTGGTGAACATAACTACTCTGATTCATTTTCTATGTGATTCAAAAGGCTGGATCATATAACCATCAAAACAAATACAGTCCAATGTCCAGAAACCTGAAAAGAAATTACCTTGGTTTTTGAAAGAATGGGGGCAGCTCGATCAAGCAACATTTCGACCACCTGCTCATGGCCACTCCTTGCTCCACAGTGCAGTGGTGTCAGACCATCCTGTTGAACAAAGGAAACATTACCAATTAAATTTGACAATAAATTCTATGAGTGCAGTGTACTTCTTCAAGATCCAGTATGGCACCCAACATGCTGTGGACAAGTGGGCTTCAAACATTTGCTCGTTTATTTCATAAAATACTTTCTTATTTTAGGTTGAAAACTACATTTTTTCATAAGTTTAAATAGCTGCAAAGTATGTAATTTCCCACAAGTCTGAATATCAACATTTAAATGTGTAGCTTTTCCACTACTGTTTTGAATAGCCAATAAAATCTAAGTACTACAAGAAATTTGATGCTCACCATTAACAAAAACACATGAATAAACTCTTAAATAGAAATCTGTAATAGAAATTCTACATTGGTTCTTTTTCCTCTTGAGTTTCTATTTCCATTCCATTTCCGCATACATAATTTTATCTTAATGTAATTTTATGCTTGAAGGTTTTTTATTGATTACCACATATTTCTCTGCCATAAAATTATATCAGTTTAAATTTAAGAAAGGTTTAAATATTTCCTGACAACACATGCCTCTAAGTATAAAAAATGAATCATCTGATTGGATTATTACTATAATTATTTGAATATAACCAATCAAAACAGCAAAAATATATAAAAAGTTTTGTGACCATTCCACAAAAACAATGTATTAAAAATTTCTCTTTTAATGGGATATGCTTTTTTCATGACTAGTTTATGTATCTGCTAATGAAGATTCGTTATTGCTAGAACGAGACAGGGTTCAGCATCAATATTAGCCCTGATTTTTGCTTTTATAGATATTAGTGCTGAGAAAACTTGTTCGCATAGACTGTTGTAGTAGAGTTACAAATTCTTTTTTTTTTTTTTTTTTTTGAGATGGAGTCTCGCTCTTTCGCCCGGGCTGGAGTGCAGTGGCCGGATCTCAGCTCACTGCAAGTTCCGCCTGCCAGGTTTACGCCATTCTCCTGCCTCAATCTCCCGAGTAGCTGGGACTACAGGCCCCCGCCACCTCACCCGGTTAGTTTTTTTTGGTTTTTTTTTTTTTGTATTTTTTAGTAGAGACGGGGTTTCATCGTGTTAGCCAGGACGGTCTCGATCTCCTGACCTCGTGATCCGCACGTCTCGGCCTCCCAAAGTGCTGGGATTACAGGCTTGAGCCACTGCGCCTAGAGTTACAAATTCTCTGAATTCCATGTGACAAATTACTTAATGATCTTTTTTTGTCTTTCGAAAATTTTTAAAAAAATTTCTTCCAAAATAAATAAATGGGATACATGTGCAGAACGTGTAGGTTTGTCACATAGGTACATGTGTGCCATGGTGGTTTGCTGTACCTATTGACCCATCCTCTAAGTTCCTCCCCTCACCCCCCAGCCCCCAATAGGCCCTGGTGTGTGTTGTTCCCTTCTCTATGTCCATGTGTTCTCATTGCTCAACTCCCACTTGTGAGTGAGAACATGAGGTATTTGGTTTTCTGTTCCCGTGTTAGTTTGCTGAGGATGATGGCTTCCAGCTTCATCCATGTCCCTGAGAAGGACATGATCTCATTCTTTTTTATGGCTGCATAGTATTCCACGATGTAAATGTACCACATTTTCTTTCTCCAATCTATTGTTGATGGGCATTTTGGTTGGTTTCACGTCTTTGCTATTGTAAATAGTGCTGCAATAAACATACGTGTGCATATGTCTTTATAGTAGAATGATTTATATTCCTTTGGGTATATACCTAGTAATGGGATTGCTGGGTCAAATGGTATTTCTGGTTCCAGATCCTTGAGGAATTGCCATACCGTGTTCCACAATGATTGAACTAATTTACATTCCCACCAACAGTGTAAAAGTGTTCCTATTTCTCCACAGCCTCCCCAGCATCTATTGTTTCCTGACATTTTAATAACTACCATTCTGTCTGGTGTGAGATGATATCTCACTGTGGTTTTGATTTGCATTTCTCTGATGATCAGTGATGTTGAACTTTTTTTCATATGTTTCTTGGCCGCATAAATGTCTTCTTTTGAGAAGTGTCTGTTCATATCCTTTGTCCACTTTTTGATGAGGTTTTTTCTTGTAAATTTGTTTAAGTTCTTTGCAGATTCTGGATATTAGCCCTTTGACAAATGGGTAGATTGCAGAAATTTTCTCACATCCTGTAGGTTGCCTGTTCACTCTAATGATAGTTTCTTTTGCCGTGCAGAAGCTCTTCTGTTTAATTAGATCTCATTTGTCAATTTTGGCTTTTGTTGCAATTGTTTTTGGCATTTTTGTCATGAAATCTTTGCCCATGCCTATGTGCTGAATGCTACTGCTTAGGTTTTCTTCTAGGGTTTTTATGGTTTTGTGTTTTACGTTTAAGTCTTTAAACCACCTTAAGCTAATTTTTGTATTAGATGTAAGGAAGGGGTCCAATTTCAGTTTTCTGCATATGGCTAGCCAGTTTTCCCAGCACCATTTACTGAACTGGAGATCCTTTCCCCATTGCTTGTTTTTGTCAGGTTTGTTGAAGATCAGATGGTTGCAGATTTCTGAGGTCTCTGTTCTGCTCCATTGGTCTATATGTCTGTTTTGGTACCAGTACCAGGCTGTTTTGGTTACCGTAACCTTGTAGTGTAGTTTGAAGTGAAGTAGCGTGTTCTTTTTGTTCTTTTTGCTTAGGATTTTCTTGGCTATATGGGGTCTTCTTTGATTCCATATGAAATTTAAAATAGATTTTCTAATTCTGTGAAGAATGTCAATGGTAGTTTGATGGGAATAGCATTGAATCGATATATTACTTTGGGCAGTATGGCCATTTTCATGATATTAATTCCTCCTATCCATGAAGATGGAATGTTTCTTCATTTGTTTGCATCCTCCTCATTTGTTTGCATCCTCTCTTATATCCTTGAGCAGTGGTTTGTAGTTCTCCTTGCAGAGTTTCTTCACATCCCTTGTTAGCTGTATACCTATGTATTTTATTCTCTTTGCAGTGATTGTGAATGGGAGTTCATTCATGATTTGGCACTTACCAGTTTAAGGAGTTTTTGGGCTGAGATGGTGGAGTTTTCTAAATATAAAATCATGTCATCTGCAAACAGAGATAATTTGACTTCCTCTCTTCCTATTTGAGTATGATTTATTTCTTTCTCTTGACTGATTGCTCTGGTCTGAACTTCCAATATTATGTTGAATAGGAGTGGTGAGACAGGACATCCTTGTCTTGTACCAGTTTTCAAAGGGAATGCTTCCAGCTTTTGCCCATTCAGTATGGTATTAGTTGTGGGTTTGTCATAAATAGCTCTTATTATTTTGAGATATGTTCCATCAATCCCTAGTTTGTTGAGAGTTTTTAACATGAAGGGATGTTGAATTTTATCAAAGGCCTTTTCTGCATCTATTGAGATAATCATGTGGTTTTTGTCTTTGGTTCTGTTTATGTGATGGATTATGTTTATTGATTTGCGTAAGTTGAACCAGCCTTGCATCCCAGAGATGAAGCTGATTTCCTCGTGGCAGATACGTTTTTTGATGTGCTGGATTTGGTTTGCCAGTATTTTATCGAGGATTTTCTCATCAATGTTCATCAGGGATACTGGCCTGAAGTTTTCTTTTTTTGTTGTGTCTCTTCTTGGTTTTGGTATCAGGATGATGCTGGCTTCATAAAATGAGTTAGGGAGGAGTCCTTCCTTTTTAATTGTTTGGAAGAGTTTCAGAAGGAATGGTACCAGCTCTTCTTTGTATTTCTGGTAGAATTCAGCTGTAAATCCATCTGGATCCTGGGCTTTTTTTGGTTGGTAGGCTATTAATTACTGCCTCAATTTCAGAACTCGTTATTGGTCTATTCAGGGATTCGACATCTTCCTGGTTAATCTTGAGAGGGTATATGTGTCCAGGAATTTATCCATTTTTTTCTAGATTTTCCAGTTTATTTCCATAAAACTGTTTATAGTATTCACTGATAGTAGTTTGTATTTCTGTGGGGTCAGTGGTGATATCTCCTTTGTCATTTTTTATTGTCTATTTGAGTCTTCTCTCTTTTCTTCGTTAGTTTAGCTAGCAGTCTATCTATATTGTTCATTTTTTCAAAAAAAAAAAAAAACAGTTCCTGGGTTCATTGATTTTTTGGAGTGCTTTTCATGTCTCTATCTCCTTTAACTCTTCTCTTAGTTATTTCTTGTCTTCTGCTAGCTTTTGGATTCATTTGTTCTTGCCTTTCTGGCTCTTTTAATTGTGATATTAGGGTGTCGATTTGAGATCTTTCAAGCTTTCTGATGTGGGCAGTTAGTGCTATAAAATTCCCTCTTAGCACTGCTTTAGCTGCATCCTAGAGATTCGGGTACACTGTCTCTCTGTTCTCATTGGCTTCAAAGAACTTCTTGATTCCTGCCTTAATTTCATAATGTTTACCCAGGAGTCATTCAGGAGCTGGCTGTTCAATTTCCACGTAATTGTGTAGTTTTCAGTGAGTTTCTTAATCCTGAGTTCTAATTTCATTGCACTGTGGTCTGAGAGACTGTTTGTTATCATTTCAGTTCTTTTGCATTTGCCGAGGAGTGTTTTACTTCCAATCATATGATCGATTTTTGAGTAAGTGCCATGTGGCACTGAGAAGAATGTGTATTCTATTGATTTGGGGTAGAAAGTTCTCTAGACGTCTACTAAGTCCACTTTATCCAGAGCTGAATTCAAATCCTAACTATCCTTGTTAATTTTCTGTCTCATGGATCTGTCTAATACTGACAGTGGGGTGTTAAATTCTCCCACTATTATTGTGTGGGAGTCTAAGTCTCTTTATAGGTCTCAAAGAAAATGTTTTATGAATCTGGGTGATCTTTTATTGGGTGCATATATATATAGAATAGTTAGCTCTTCTTTTGAATTGTTCCCTTTACCATTATGTAATACCCTTCTTTGTCTTTTTGGACCTTTGTTGATTTAAAGTCTGTTTTGTCAGAGACTAGGATTGCAACCCCTGCTATTTTTTTGCTTTCCATTTGCTTGGTAAATATTCCTCCATCCCTTTATTTTGAGCCTG